TGGGAAGTATCTAATTCCAGATCCACGTGGAAAGATAGAGCTGACTCTCCAGTCTTCTGCCTGAGCCAACAGGGAGACGGGGGCTGGATCTCACTGAGAGGGAAGTCTGATTCAGGGAGCAGAAAGAAGTGATAGCAGAGCAGAGAAGACAAGTTAACTTCTCATACATTTCTTACTGAACATTAACCTGTAAATAATTACCAAGATTCCAAAATGTCTTCATAATACCTTTGAGGGCTGTATGTTCCATTACCCTCAATTATGTGACCATTTCCTCTGTTATCATCTAGACTGCTTCTCTTTCAATTAACAACATTATAGACATTCCTATAATGAATATCTCTGATGGACTTGTCTTTGTGGGTTTTTCTCAAGGGATTTTTGGGGATGGGTTTATGTATGAGGTGAAGGAGTAAGAACCCAGAAGCTCTCGAGACACACTGCTAAAGTGTTTTCCAGAAAGATGGTGACAGTATTTAGTAGGAGGCCAGCCAAAACTAAGTGTAGCAGTGCCACTGTAAATGAGACAGTAGAGGGCATTAGCATTTTATTAATACTTCCTAATAAAAGGAGTAAAAAAGTTTCTAACTTTTAGAATCCTCTTGGGGCAGGCTGGGTGGCTCAGCGGTTTAGTGCCGCCTTCAGCCCAGGGCCTGATCCTGGAGACCCTGGATCAAGTGCCACGTCAGGCTCCCTGCATGGAGCCTGCTTCTCCCTCTGCCTTTGTCTCTGCCTCTCTCTCTCTGTCTCATGAATAAATAAAATCTTTTTTTTAAAAATAAAATTTTTGTAAATACTTGATTGTGGCTAAAGCTGAACATTTTATTTTGTTAAGCAGGCTCCGCACTTAGTGTGGAACACAACGCAGGCCTGAGCTCATGACCCTGAGCTGAAATGAAGAGTCAGATGCTTAACTGCCAGAGCCACTCAGGCGTGCCCCACCGTTGGACATCTTTAGAGTATCTCTGGCTGTCAACGGATTGTTCAGGTCCCTTGCCCATTTATTTACTAAAGCTCTAATATTTAGGAAAATAAACTAGGGAAACTCTATTGAAGCAAATTTGTGCTCCTTTTGTAAAAAGAAGCACTTGGTATGTTAATAATGTATTTTGTTGACATTAATCTAAACATTACCAACTTGATTAAAAACATTTTCTAGAGGGAAGCAGACCTGGATTAGGTAGTGCTGTAGTCACAAACATGGGCACACCTTCTAGATCCTTCTCCGAGGGGCAAACACCTTGCTGATAGCATCTCAGGATGCTACAAAGTGCAAGGACAGGACGGAGGGGCTTGTCTGGAGAGTGACCTGCAGGCTGGAGTAGCTCCAGGATGGCTCTCAGGGATTCTGGAGCCTGTGGCTTGCTCCAGGGAATGACTCCCAGTGGGGGCAGGGGTGGGGTCAGCTAAATGTCTCTCCCATGACGTCCCTCCAGCTGCTTGGCAAGCCGGGAGCACCTTGTTCGTGAGAGCTGGGCCTGGGAGGTTTCCTCTGGGGTCTGTTTCAGTCCTGAGAACCCGACGCTTTCCTGCTCATTCCAGTCTCCTGGCCCCATCTCAGGCTGCTGACATTTTACCTCTTCAAGTACCGCCTCCACCATAGCATCTTCCCCAATCAACGCACCAGGTCCAAACCCCTCCAGGCACCTGTTGGGGTCTCTCCCTCCCTAGACTGGGAGGACAGGGCTCAGGCTTATTTCCTGTCCTCACTGCATCTGATAGGACGCCCCTTGGGAAGCCTTGCTGAACCGCTGACCTCCCGGTAATTAGGTTTCCCAGTATAATGCAGCACCACTGCCCGCTGCACTTCAGCTTCCTCACGGGGTTCTGGTGAAGATTAAAGAGAGTACTGGAGAAAGTCACCCCATCTTTGTTTTACAGTCACTGAGCACAAACGTGCTAGTTTCTGTCCAGAAGCAGAGACACCAGAGATCCTCTGTGGGCTGGGAAGGTCTTCTCCAAGATACTGGGCAGGAAAGACCCATTGGGAAGGGTTCGGGTTCCCTGGGGACAGGGCGCGCTGAGTAGGGGACGGGATGGGGGGGCAGGCCTGGGGGGTTTCCCCAGCAGGGCTGCAAACAGACACTGGTGAGAGGTGAGGGCCTGGGAGAGCCCGGGGGTCGGGCTGGCGGGGGACGGGGCGGGGCAGAGCAAGGCAGGTCCCGCCTGGAGGGGAAGGACGGGGTGCGTGAAGGCCAGGGACACGGGGAGGCTGGCGAGGTCCCTGGTTTGGTGTCAGTGAGGCCTTGGGCGTCATTTCTCACCTACTCCATCACCTTGCAGGGCGGGCAGGGGGAGGCCTAGTCTGCTTAAGCCACCCCGGACGCCCTCCGGGACGAGCCCGCCCCCCCCCCCGCGGCTCGAAGCCCCTCTCCGCCCCCCCCCCCCCAGGGCGAGGCCTCCGCCCCGGGCACGAGGGCCCCCGCGCTTCCCCGCAGCGCCCGCGGCCTGGCCCGCACGACCTTGCCGCCCGAAGCCCCGGGGACGCAGCGCTCCCCACGTCGGTGACGCTGTCCCACAGCAACAGGCGTGTGCGGCGAGAGCCAGGCGTCCCCGCACCCGCAGCAAACCGCGAGGAGAGGCCGCCCGCCGCCCGCCGCCCGCCGCCCGCGGCCCGCACCGGCACAGCAGCAGCCGTAGGGGGCGGGGCCTTCCCGGCCGCTTCCGCGTCGCGCCTCCGCACGTCACCGCGAGGGGAGCCAGGCGATTGGCCAGCGGGGACGGCGGCCGCCCGGGGCTACCGAGCCGGCAGGGGCGGGGCGGGGCTCCGGGGGCGGGGCCTGGAGGGGGCGTGGTTTCGCCGGGGGAGGGCTCGGCCCCGGGCTGCGCGGCTGCGCACTGCGGTCGCTGCTGCCGTCGCGGCGCCAGGAGGGACGCTATGGCTGGCCCCGCGTGGATCTCCAAGGTGGGCGCGGGGCCGCAGTGCGGCCGGCGGGCACGCGGCCAGGGAGCCAGCGGGCGGGGGCGGGCGCGCGGGCCTCGGCGGTCGCGGGCTGTGGCGGCGGCCCGGTGCGCGGACGGTGGCGCCTGAGGCGGGGCCAAGGTCACGGCGGGGCCCGGGCATCCCCAGGAGCGCCGCGCCGGAGCCCGGCCTGAGCCTGGCGCGGGGGCCGGGGTTGCGGGGCGGTGGGGACAGCCGGCCCACGGGCCCACCATCGGACGGCGCGGGGTTTCCTCGCACCCGGGAGATCCCCGCCCAGCCCCTGCCCTGTCCCGGGGCGAGCCCCGCGACCTGGAGAGCTGTCGCTGGCCCTGACAGCTCGGGGCGCGGGCCGGGCCGCAGGGGCGCCAGGGGGCCTCGGCGACGCCAGGGGGCACCGAGGTCGCGGCGGAGCCTGCCTGCGCCTGCAAGGCGCTGCGGCTCAAGGTCACGCGCGGTGTCGGGGTCGGAACTGGGCGGCCGCGGGGTCCGGCTTCCTAGTTCTCACCCCCGTACCGTCTTGCTCTGCGGCCAAGGTCACACCGGTGACGCCACGGGAAAGTGGGCCCTCGGGTCTCCTGTTGCTCCTCACAAGCCTGGCCCCCTAGAAATCTACTACAAGCAATTCAGGTTGTTTTTGGTGAAACTTGGTGCTATTCTCCTTTTGCTTTGAGCTTAAAGAGTGACCCAGATCACTGTGATTTCATGAAAAGACCTCTGCGGGGAGTCTGCCCCAAGTCCTAGGTTTGAATCCGGACTATGCTACTAATGGGCTGTGTGACCTTGAGCAAATTACTTTACTTCTCTGAGCTTTGGATGCTCGTCTGTAAAACACCTGTACTTGCCTCACAGAGTTGTTTGAGGATCAGATAAAGTAATGTGAAAGTACTAGCACATGCGGAAAGAACTCACATCTGAAGCTTTCCCAGCAGCCACCAGCAGACAGCGGTGCTTGGGCCTCAGTAACTGGGTTCTGCTTGGCTACCCTCTCCAGACCTGGATGTGTGTATGACGGTGACTGTTATGCCACATTTGCTCCTGGAGGTAAAAGTGATTTCTGTATCACTGTCTCAGCAGAAATCAAACCTTGAATCACGGAGTTTACCCCACTTAACACCTGCTTCATCTTTGGTAGGTAGAGTGGCAGACTAAGAAAGCAGTTCTGTTGATGGTGGATGTGTTGGGAAATTTGCTTTGCCTTTATTGTGGACTGCAAGAAAAAACCCATATAGTGGTTATTCAGAAAGCAGTGGGTTGTGGAGTCAGATGAGGTTCTCCCCTGACACGGACTCCTGTGTGACCTTGGCCATCACTGGACCTCTCTGGGTCCCGCTTCTCCCTTTAGGGGTTGGAGTGGAAGGTGCCTCAGAGACCCACGCCCAGGATGCTGGAGATGCTGGGCTGATGTGGGTTTCAGTCACAGCAGTTCCTCTGTTGGAGTTCCTTCTAGACTTTTATTTGAAAAAAAGTCTGCAAGGGATCCCTGGGTGGCGCAGCGGTTTGGTGCCTGCCTTTGGCCCAGGGCGCGATCCTGGAGGCCCGGGATCGGATCCCACGTCGGGCTCCCGGTGCATGGAGCCTGCTTCTCCCTCTGCCTGTGTCTCTGCCTCTCTCTCTCTCTCTGTGACTATCGTAAATAAATAAATAAAAAAAAAACCTTTAAAAAAAAAAAAGAAAAAAAGTCTGCAGCTTAATTTTTTTTTTTGAAGATTTATTTACTTATTTATTCATGAGAGACAGAGAGAGAGGCAGAGACACAGGCAGAGGGAGAAGCAGGCTCCATACTGGGAGCCCAACGTGGGACTTAATCCCGGGACCCCAGGATCATGCCCTGGGCTGAAGGCGGGGCTAAACCTCTGAACCACCCGGGCTGCCCCTTAATTTTTTTTTTTTAATCCAGAAAAGCTTTATTTAGAGAAAACACTAGCTTTCTAAAGACATTTCCGGTTCTTTCTTTTTCTTTTTCTTTTTTTTTTTTTTAGATTTTACTTACTTACTTACTTACTTATTTATTTATTTATTTATTCATGAGAGACAGAGAGAGAGAGAGAGAGAGACTCCATGCAGGGAGCCCGAAGTGGGACTGGATCCCAGGACTTCAGGATCACAGCCTGGGCCGAAGCCAGGTGCTCAACCAGCCACCCAGGCATCCCAAGACCTTTCTGGTTATAAAATGCAGTATTTACAATAAGCCAGTTCCCGAGCAGCAAATATTTATTAAGTGAGTATCTGTCATACGTCCAACACTGTATTTGTGTTTTTAAGTTGGATTATGAAGGTAATAAAGGAAGTAAGAAGCAATGGATTCAGATGGCACAGGACAGGAAGTCTATGAGCCTGGCCTTAGTGTCCTCATCTGAAAGGGACACTAATACCTACCTTTCCAGGTTTTATAGAGATAACACCATGTAAAGTATGTACAAGTACGTTATAAAGTACAAGACAGTCTCTGCTTTTAAAAAAGCTCATTTTGGGGCAGCCTGGGTGGCTTAGCGGTTTAGCGCTGCCTTCAGCCTAGGGCGTGATCCTGGAGACCCAGGATTGAGTCCTAGAGTACTACATCAGGCTCCCTTCATGGAACCTGCTTCTCCCTCTGCTTGTGTCTCTGCCTCTTTGTCTCTCATGAATAAATAAAATCTTTAAAAAATAAAAAAATAATTAAAAAGCTCATTTTACTGGGTCATTTTAATGACTTAGATGTATACTGCCTTATTCTAAGATCACGTAGGAGAGATGACAAACATGGACAAGACTGGCTGTTAGAGAAGATGTCCTAAGTATTAAAGATGTTTGCTGGGCTGGGGACTTGTCAGATAAGAGAGATGATTGAGGCCGGCTTGTGTTTCTCCAAAAATACTCCAGAGGGAACACCTCTTGTGTATCCCATGCTGTTCTGGACACTGGAGAGCCAACAATGAGCAAAACAAAAATCTTTGTGATTGTGGATTGACATTTTATTTTATTTTATTTTTAAAGATTTTATTTATTTGAGAAAGTGAACAAGGGAGAGCGTAAGCAGAGGGAGAAGTGGACTCCACACTGAGCTCCCCATGGAGGGTTTTATTTCAGGACCCTGATCATGACCTGAGCCGAAGGCAGGCGTTTAATCCACTGAGCCACCCAGGCATCCCTGGATTGACATTTTAAATCACTTTTGGGGGCAGCTCCAGTGGCTCAGGGGTTTAGCGCCGCCTTCAGTCCAGGGCATGATCCTGGAGACCCTGGATTGAGTCCCACTTCAGGCTCCCTGCATGGAGCCTGCTTCTCCCTCTGCCTCTCTCTCTGTCTCTCATGAATAAATAAATAAAATCTTTAAAAAAAAATAAATCACTTTTGGGTTGAGTCTTTGTCACAAAGACATGGGCCTGTTTTGTAGGATTATTTTCCCCCTCTTTCTGGGGTGGGGGGGGATGGGGAGAAACACTCCTGCACATTTTATAATGTTGCCTGTCACAGAGTGGCTTTTACATGGCCTCTCTTCCAGTAGCCCATCTGTCTGTGGATGAATCATGTTCTAGGATTAAGGTTTTTGCCAGTGTGTTCTTTTGGGTCTGGCCCTATTTTTTTGGTTTTTCAGCCCAGAGAGATGACTGTAGATGCCAGGTTAGAGAATACGGTTCATTCATACCTGTTTGGCTGCTGCTTGGCATCTCATTAGTAGATGCCAGCAGAGGGTCGGGCCTTGGGAGAACTCTCTCCAGAAAGGAAGACTAAGCCACCATATGACAAATATATCTGCTTATTTGTCTAGCATGAAAAAAGTTACCTTTATAATTTTTTTTTAAGATTTTAAAAATTTATTTGTGAGAGTTAACAGAGAGAGAGAGAGAGAAGTAGAGACACAGGCAGAGGGAGAAGCAGGCTCCATGCAGGGAGCCTAATGTGGGACTCGATCCCGGGACCCAGGATCACGCCGAAGGCAAGTGCTAAACCGCTGAGCCACCCAGGGATCCCCTACCTTTATAAATTTTAATGAATTTTAGTAACTTTACCCTATGTACCCAATTTCATAATAGGACCTTGTACCAGTTTTCAACAACCAAGTTATTAAAGTTCAAAACAACCTTTTAAAACTTGCTTCTAGTGTCTGATAGTGTTGAGTGGAAAACAATATACTGGTGGTAATATCTCATAGTGGGGTTAGTAGGTCACTTTTTTTTTTCTGTATCCCCTAACCTGACAGTTAACAATAATGACCGTGTTACCTATATTATCATAAAAATAAGAAAAAATAAGTAAAATCTTCATTCTGTATGACACAGGTATCAAATGGTATTAAATAAACTTTGTTAGATTTTTGTAATTATAAAGTATAATTACTAAATCATGGGAGAAGAGTAGGCATGACATGTAATTGAAGGATCACTGGACTAGAAGTCAGCAGACATAAACTCTGGCCTCTGTGGTCACTCTGTGGCCTTAGGCAGATCCTGACCCTTGAGACACCAATGTCTCCAGCTATAGAATGAGTGAGTTGGGCTCTGGAATTTGTAAGGACCCTTCCAGTTCTAAAATTAGTGATAGCTGGGCACCTGAGTGGCTCAGTGGTTGAGCGTCTGCCTTTGGCTCAGGTTGTGATCCTGGGGTCCTGGGATCGAGTCCCACATCGGGCTTCCCATGGGGAGCCTGCTTCTCCCTCTGCCTGTGTCTCTGATTCTCTGTGTGTCTCTCATGAATAAATAAATAAATCTTAAAAAAAAATTAGTGATAGTTTTCTTAGAGTATGTGTTCACCCCAAATTGGCCCAGTAGTCAAGAACGTTGACATAAAACCTTCCAGGTCATCTGAGAAAAATCCAGTGTTTGAGCTAAAAGGGTATAGTTTCATTCCACCTTCAATATTTTTTGACAACTTCTATTCATCAAATCAACTTTAAAAGTGTATAGTACTTAAATTTTCAAAGCAAAGATAAACCAAATATTTAGGTTTTCAAATCTGAGATAGCTTGTCACATTGAGCTAATACATGAGAAAAATATTCCTCCGAAGTTCCAGAATATATGTGTGCAAACTTGCAGCAGCAGCAGCAGCTATCAGAAATGGCCTCGTCCCCACCTGTATATGGTTTTTAATTCTATGCATGACATTTCTTTGTTGATATTGATGTAGGTCTCTCGGCTGCTGGGGGCATTCCACAACCAAAAACAGGTGACCAGAGCTTTTGCTGGTGGTGTGAGTATAATTATCTTTTATTTTTTTCCTTTTTAGAAGTTTCTCAAGAAAGATGCTCTAGCACATTTATTATATAGTTTTTTGTCACCATTTATTTAAAATTAGGAAAAACTTGCCATACTTATACTGGATATTTAAATTGTTGGCTGACACGCGTAAATCCATCCGATTGCTTGCACATTTAAGAATTATGTTACAGCTGGCTCTGTAATGTCTTAAAGGAGCCTGGTTAAAAATAGAAATTACCCTTGAGCCTACCCTTGAGATTACTTTACAATCTCATTTTCGTAAGATTGGTTTTTTTTGAAACCAGTACAAGTTGAGAGAAAATTGTTGAGAAGCTTCAAAACCTGCTTTGCATTTTTATTTTATGAGCTTCCCTAAAAACAGTAGATTGACCGCTAATTAGGAATGCCTCAAACTCATCTGAGCCCTGTGGGCTCATATGTCCTCATGCAGTCTTTATAGACTGTTAAGTTAGTGGATCACCTATTTCTCATGAAATCTGCTGCTTTTAGAATCCCCAGCATTAGAATTCTGTGCTTTAAAAGCTGATAACCACATTTTTAGAGCATTCTAAGACTGTGGGTCAGTGACTTCCTGTTTGTTTTTATTTTACCCCTTTCTCACAGAATCTGATTTGGATTTCGTAATTCCTCTACTCTCATATAACTCTGTAAGACCTGTTTCTTCCGCTTACTTTCTTTATCGCGGAGGAAAAGGAGATTCTTCTGGTGGCCTAATGCCATTTATTACTATGTGTTGGGAGAACAGGAAGAAGAAGCCAGAGGGTTCTTTGGCTTGGCTTATACAAAAGATGCAGAAGGAGGCTTATGCTTCACGCACAAGGCTGGCCATGCTAGCATTTCTACGCACTCCGAAAGCTCATGAGACCATCATTACTCTCCACTATCACCTGAAATGTCTGTTTTGTGAAGATATTCGCCTGGCAGGGAGGGGATTATATCTGAAAGAAAAAAGAACAGAAACTAACTTTTAAAAAACTTTCTTCAGTAATACAGAGGAATTCAGAAATAATGAGTCTACCTGCTCAGTGACTATCAGTGGAAGGCAAAAGGCCAGGGACACTTGAATAGTGATTTCTTAAAAAATGTAGCACAGGCAAGGAAAACTGGAAAAGATGGGGACCACTGTCTGGGCAGACTTCCTGCTGAGAGAAGGTTCCCCTGATAATGACACGTATTGTCTGTAGATGGAGGGTGGGGTCTGAATATGATCTTAACTCCTTGAAATCCCATTATGATTTCCCTTTACACATTTTTATTTCTACATTTGAAATGCTGGCTGGATTGTTTGAAGCCTCTGTAATAAACCCCTGATGTTACATTATAAACACACTTGCCATTCTAGGTCTACCTCAGACTGCTGGCATGACCGCACTTTTGCTGTTCTTGTAGGTCGCACATAAAATCTCTGCCGGGCTCCCTCAGATGACATTTGTCATGGAGGAGCCAGTGTCTCTGCTGAAAAGCAGAGGACACCCCTGCCCCCCCTCCGGCGATTGGAAGTCTGATTTTCTCTGAGTTCTAGAACAGACTGCAGCCATATTCTGGAAATGTGTCTGAATGTTTTTTAGCCTGAGTGGGTTGGGTGAGGACCTAACTCTCCAGAATCCCACTGGAGAGGAGAGCAGTTGCCTTCATGAGAAAACCCCTGAATTTCAGTGAGAGAACATTGTGGAAACTTTGTTCTCTTTGGTTTCATAGACTTAATTGGTCTCTTTGTAGCTTGTCTGAAATGTGAATTGGGAAGTCTACTTAGTAGTTTATTTTTGTTTTATCTAAAGAGCATCACTTACGTTTTTTCAAAGCCTCAGAACTCAGGTGAAGAGTAGAGATGAGTCTCTAGAGTCTCGCCTCCATCTTGGTGAACTCTCCAGAGGGACATCTCTTTACTCGAAGGCCTTTGGGTCTTCTTGAGCCCCTCACTGCTCCCCACCAATGAACTGGATTTCTCTGTCAGTGATGTTCTTTCCCAAACCTTCCAAAATTAATCCAGACTGTCTTTGCTGATATCTCACACTCAGGTTCAGACAGTCACTTTAATTCCAGGAGATGGTATCGGCCCTGAGATCTCAGCTGCAGTTATGAAGATTTTTGATGCTGCCAAAGTAAGTGCGTTTAAAAAATGCCTTTAATAATAACATGTACAGATCTTTTCTTAGCCAATTGGAGTCTCAGGATAAGTTACTCCTGTTTGTGTAAAGTGGGGAGGTTAGTGCAGTGTGCACAGGCTTCGTTGGACTCAGTCACCTGAGCAGTGCTGTTGCATGTGTGGGTCTTGAGGCCCTGCCAAGGCACCTGTCTGCCTCATATCTGCCCTCCTGCCAAGAAGAATAAAACTGATATTTTAAAAACTGTAGATGAGATTTTTGAAAGATAAAAAAAATTCTTTTTTTTTTAAAGATTTTATTTATTTATTCATGACAGACACAGAGAGAGAGAGAGAGAGAGAGAGGCAGAGACACAGGCAGAGGGAGAAGCAGGCTTCATGCAGGGAGCCTGACGTGGGACTTGATCCCAGCTCTCCAGATTCACACCCTAGGCCAAAGGCGGCACTAAACCGCAGGGCCATAAAAAAAATTCTGAAGCATTATTACCATCAAGTAGGAGGTATGATTATTCTAATATCCCAGCCTCCCATGCAGCAGATAGTTAAAAATGCTTTTGTTTGGGGAATTCGGGAAAGTTGGTTGTGTTTGACATGGCAGCTAGGCAAGGTCCTGTGCTATCATGATACCGCCCACTGTGGGGTGAGGACGGAGATGTGTTTAAACCATACATACGGGGCAATCTGGGTGGCGCAGCGGTTTAGTGCCGCCTGCAGCCCAGGGCATGATCCTGGAGACCCGGATCGAGTCCCACATCAGGCTCCCTGCATGGTGCCTGCTTCTCCCTCTGCCTTTGTCTCTGCCTCTCTCTCTCTAGCTGTGTCTCTATGAATGAATGAATGAATGAATGAATGAATGAATAAATAAATAAATAAATAAATAAACCATATATACTTAGTTTTCCTAACCATGATCCTACAGAGGATCCAAGGCTGGGATAGTAGCAGATGCCCCAGAGAACTGGGTGCAATTGCTCACCTGCCGTCAGTGCCAGTGGGGAAGGCTGGGGCTCCTGAGCAGCTTACATGCTGTACCTGGGGTTTTTAACCAGCTTTATTGAAGTACCCCACAGTTTGTCTGTTTGCAGGGTGTGGTCCAAGTCCGTAGTCTGCAGCGCATGCAGACTTGTACAGCCAGCACTGTGGTCTAACTTTAGAGCATGCTTAGTCCCCAGACAGAAACCTGACCCACCTTCACTCCCGCTGCCCATCCTGCAACCCTCTCAGCGCCCTCCCCCCTTTGCTTGCCCCAGGCAGGCACTTGTCTACTTTCTGTCCACACACTTGCCTCTTCTGGACATTTCATATGAGTGGGGTTTTGTACTATGTGGCTTTTTACGATGGGCTTCCCTCACTTAGCATGTGTTCCCTGGGTTCCTACGGCAGGCATACTTCTTCCTTCCTTGCGATATTCTTTTTTTTTTTTTTTTTTAAGATTTTATTTATTTATTCATGAGAGACACAGAGAAAGAGAGAGGCAGAGACACAGGCAGAGAGAGAAGCAGGCACCATGCAGAGAGCCCAATATGGGACTCGATCCCGAGACTCCAGGATCACGCCCTGGGCTGAAGGCAGACACTCAACTGCTGAGCCACCCAGGCGTCCCTTCCTTGCAATATTCTAATCGTAGCCACGTTAGGGCTTTTGAGAGATAAGTGGGCAGGTGGCAGCCAGGTTTGAACCAGACAGGGTAGCACAGAGAGGCGCTCTGGGCACCCTAGGGAGTGACACCTCTTCGAATGCCAGGAACTTTCTGGATGTATATTATGTGTTTTCACTCATTGCATCCAAAGTTGGAAAAGTTTGTAATTGTGTGCGTGCCAGTCACTGAGCAGCTCACTGTGCTCTGTGCCTTGACATCTAGGCGCCCATTCAGTGGGAGGAGCGGAATGTCACTGCCATTCAAGGACCGGGGGGAAAGTGGATGATCCCTCCTGAAGCCAAAGAGTCCATGGATAAGAACAAGATGGGCCTGAAAGGTAGTGGATGCGGTGGCTCCTATGGGTTTCTGCTTCCAGTGTCATGTTTCTGAGAGATTCTGTGTTGAAGCTAAATAGGGCCTGGCCGTATTAAAACGAACCATCCTGTGTGAAGCAACGTACTTCTTTCTGTTCTCAGAATGTCTTTATTTGAATGCTGCTAACATACTGTTATGTTAGTTTCAGGCACACAACCTTCTCCACGTGTTGTATGGTGCACCCCAAATGAAGCTACTTAGTTATGGTCAGATTGCTTTCATTTGGGGTGTATTGTTCCCCAGTAAGAACGTTCAAGGGTTACTGGCCAGTGTCAGTGAAAGTGTATATTTGTGCTAGGTTTATCTTCTGCACACTTTTCACGTTTTTATTATTTTAATTAATACATGCTTCAGGTCATGATTCAAAATACGAGCATGTACCTGATTCCCATTCAATACAGGCTGTAAGTCCAGACAGATGTAAGTTTGAATCCCATCCCGCTTACTGCTGGGAGGCTTAGGCAAGTTTCTTACTCTTGCTTTTGATATTTTGTTTTTTTTCCCCTTCACTTTTATTTTATTTTTTAAAGATTTTATTTATTTATTCGAGAGAGATAGCACCAGCAGGGAGGGACAGAAGAAGAACCAAACTCCACACTGAGCAGGGAGCCCAAGGTGGGACTTGATTCCAGGACCCTGGGATCATGATTTGAGCTGAAGGCAGACACTTCACCCACTGAGCCCCCCAGGCACCCCTTTCCTTCACTTTTAAATGACAGTAAGTGTTGTTACCTCATTGGTAGGGGTGAGGGTCAGATACTGCCGAGCCTGGCCCTCTCCCATGAGGTATGCAGTGTTACTAAGGAGGGCAGTAATGTTCCAGAAAGGTTCCATGGAACTCTTCCTCCTTCATTTGAATCAGGGAGATAAAGTCAGAGACAGACACCCTCATGGTGGCCCGGGTAGATTAGCCGGTGACCTGGGAGTGCCTGAGAGTGACAGCCATGCTTAGAAAACAGAGCACTGCCTGTCCTTTCAAGTGACCCTTGGTCTGTTGTAAAAGTGTCTGTTAGTTCCTAAGCATGCATGTTACATGTGTCACACAGCTACTTATCCAAAGTTCTAGTGGAAAAGTGAAACAAGGAAGAATTGGAATTTCAAATAAATGTTCTGTACTTGTGTTTATAAAGAAGAAGAAAACCCCAGAACCCTGTTGTCATCTGGGTGCTCTTTACTACAGGCCCTCTGAAGACCCCAATAGCAGCAGGCCACCCATCTATGAATTTATTGCTGCGTAAGACATTTGACCTTTATGCAAATGTCCGACCGTGTGTTTCAATCGAGGGTTACAAAACCCCTTACACCGACGTGAACATTGTCACCATCCGGGAGAACACAGAAGGAGAGTACAGTGGCATAGAGCATGTGGTATGTTCATTTCACACACTTGCACTTGGGACAGTTTTTCCGATTCCCATTTGTTGGACACATCTCGCACAGACAGCTGCCTGTGGCCTCTGCAAGGTGTGGGCATGGGCCTCAGTCCTGGCTTGGCGTCAGGCAGTGGGGCTTGGACCCAGGCCTGGGGAGTGCCCTCTGTTGTAAGTTTGAATCCTCCAGTTCACAGCCGTGTTCTTGGGCAGGTGGCCACCCCTGCACCTCAGTTATCCTCATCTGTTCAGGGGGCCTTATGTTACCTACTCCATGGGGCTGGGGCGGGACTGGGGCTGATGATGTTATTAACCTCTGGGACGCCCCACATTGGGGTGCATCCTCACCGGCCACGGCCCAGCGCCAGGCCAGTCCAGTGAGGCAAGGACCTGCTCTTCAGATCGTGGATGGGGTCGTTCAGAGCATCAAGCTCATCACTGAGGAGGCGAGCAGGCGCATTGCTGAGTTTGCCTTCGAGTATGCCCGCAACAACCACCGGAGTAACGTCACAGCTGTGCACAAAGCCAACATCATGTGAGTCCCGGCCAGAGCCCCACGTGCTCAGGCGGTTGGTAGGGGCGGGGAGTGATCCAGCTTCCCTTTCTTCCCCTCAGTCAGCGGGTCCATGTCTCTTTCGAGTCTCATGTCCTGTGTATGCAGCAGATTGGAGGGTGGGAGTTCAGGTCCTGGTATGTTAGGAGAGACTAGGCATTATCAGAGAAGGATGCTGGAGTCTGGGTCCCCATGTGCTGTGACTGTGGTGTACCCAGGCCATGCAGTTCAAAGGGCAGGGGCACTCCTGTTGTCCAAGTAGACCAGGGGAGTGTCTCTAAAATGGTCACACTGGGACTGCCTGATGAATGGTTTGTGGTTGTCTTCCTGCTCACTCCACTGCTTAAGGCAGCTCCGGGTGTGTGCAGAAACCGGTTCCCTGACCTAGGAAGGGGGTTGAGCATGTGCAATAGTCCAACCACTTAAATGATTGATTAAGTTTATCTTTTAAAGCAATTTTAACATTTTCTTATTAATAGATATTTCTTAATTCTTGCTGGACTTAGAACTAGTTAAAAAGCATAGTCTTTTATTATGATAAAACGATTTTACATTTTTATTCCCTTTTGTGCTTCCGGAAATATTCTAAAACATTTTCAGTTTGCATTTTATTAACTGCCAAAAAAATAATTTTAATATAATTGAAATCTGACGTCTGGGCTTCTGAAACATTTCTTGAACTTATCTTTACTCTCTGACCTGGTCCTTTTCTTTCTGCAAGTCTTTTCAACAATTTTTATTTGATTAAATACAGGCGAATGTCAGATGGGCTTTTTCTACAAAAATGCAGGGAAGTTGCTGAAAACTGTAAAGATATTAAATTTAATGAGATGTACCTTGATACAGTATGTCTGAATGTAAGTATACGTGCTTGCTTACCTGCTACTTTCTGCGGCGTGCTGCGGATGCAGCAGTGTGCCGTGTTGGTCGCTAAACACAGATTTGTCTCTTACAGATGGTCCAGGATCCGTCCCAATTTGATGTCCTTGTTATGCCAAATTTGTATGGAGACATCCTTAGGTGAGTCCAGCTATTCCTTTTTAGTCTATAATTTATTTATAAATGTCCTAAAATGAATGTGGCTTAAGGAGTTTGAATCAATTTTTATTAAGTATAGCGTGTGTCATATGAGTTTGATCCTAGCGATTTGGGTGGTGATGGCAGTGATTAGAGGTTGGATGGGTTATTCATCTGTTTGTCAGATCAGCTCTGGGCTGTTGTCCCTCCTCCCATGCTGAGATGTTTTGTTGGTTGATTGATTTTGCCGTGTTATGTATAGCCCTTGGGTGGTCATTTTTACCAAATTTTTGTGACTTTTGGTAGAATTGCAGGCTTACAGAAAAGGAAAATTGCTGTGTCCCTGGCCCCCACCACCTGAGTGCCCGCATCTTAGCACCCCTGCTCCTCCCCTCCCCCTTCATCCCCTTGTCCCTTGCCCCACAAAGGTGGCCACTATTCCTTCTCCACCTGTTAGTGGGTATTCTGCTGTGAGAATAAGCTTCTCTCATTTATTTGCATCCGTATTTGTATCAGTTTGACTCTTGGATACAACTGTGAGTTACATCCGACATCACCATCATTCATACTGGCCGGCTCATGGCCCTTTGAGCTGTGTTGTGTCCCCTGGGCATGGCCTACTGTGTGCTTTCTGAGACAGTACACTGCCCCTTCCTGACTGTGGCCCTGGATCAGCTGTTTCTCAGGGAGCTCTGCTTCCTTTTGGCGGGAAGTCTGGGTGAGGTGTTTCGTTTTCCAGAATACTCTTTGAAATGTTTTTCTGCTGCTAGCGACCTGTGCGCGGGATTGATTGGAGGTCTTGGTGTGACACCAAGTGGTAACATTGGAGCCAACGGGGTAGCGATCTTCGAGTCGGTAAGGCCCTGGGTAACCGTGAAGCCGCGGTCACAGGAATGGCCTGAGGCCAGGGTGGGTTATCTGCATGGATATGGTTCAATTGTTGAGTTTTCCCTGGGGTTCAGGTTTTATATAAGCTTATTCATTGATTTCCTCCTTAATTTTGTATCCTTATCATTTATTATGTCTTTCCTCAGTTACATTTTATCAGAAATCAGAAAAGATTGTTAGTCTGTGTTTTGTACTTTTTCTCTGCGACTTTGGCTATTTTTCTGAGCCTTTACCGCCAGGACCCATATCTGATGAGTTGGGCACAGTATCCGTTGCTGTTGCTCATTGATGAGGAGACAGGACCAGGCCCAATGTGCTGGGAAGAGGCTATTGGCTGTCCCCCGACTGTGCTTGTGTTCCCCACCGCTAGGTTCACGGAACTGCCCCGGACATTGCTGGCAAGGACATGGCCAACCCCACGGCTCTCCTGCTCAGCGCTGTGATGATGCTGCGCCACATGGGGCTTTTTGACCATGCTGCAAGGGTTGAGGCTGCGTGCTTTGCTACAATTAAGGATGGAAAGGTATCAGTCGTCTGCCATACTTATGCTGTGCCAAATACCTTCTTTTTTTTTTTTTTAGTATTTTATTTATTCATGAGAGACACAGAGAGAGAGGCAGAGACACAGGCAGAGGGAGAAGCAGGCTCCACACAGGGAGCCCAATGCGGGACTCGATCCCAGGACTCCAAGATCATGCCCTGGGCCAAAGGCAGACGCCAGACCACTGAGCCACCCAGGGATCCCCCCAAATACCTTCTTGAACACATTTTGTCTGGGTGAAAGCAACAGGCAATGGCACCCCGAGCACACTCAGGCCTTGTGCACACATGGGAGTGTGTTTTGTGAAGAGAGGAGCCCCATGTTTCATGAGGGAGGGGTCAGGAAGCTCTGATGCGGAGACCTGTGTGCAGCAGGAAGACCTGAGATTTGGGAGCCAGATCCATTTAGGCCTGGATATCCTGTTGGCAGTGCCCGATCTGGGCCAGGTCCCTGCTTCTACCCGCAATAAACATGTGTCATGTACATCGTGGGGTCTGCAGAGTGTAACCCAGCAAGCAAAGCTAAGGTCCAGGCCTCAGGGGCTGGAATCTCAGGGCAGATCCAGATGCTGTGACGTGGTACACAACATGTGTCTGTGTTAGGAAAGTAAAACAGAGCTTTTCTGAAAGTAATCATAGTGGCCAATAGAAACAAAGTACTTGCATGGCTATGTTTTTTATGCTTCTCATCTCCACAAACCTCTCCTGTGAAGGAGATGCTACAGTTAATCCCTTTTTTCTTTTTATTTTTTATTTTTATTTTTTAAAATTTTTATTTATTTATGATAGTCAGAGAGAGAGAGAGAGAGAGAGAGAGAGAGAGAGGCAGAGACACAGGCAGAGGGAGAAGCAGGCTCCATGCACCGGGAGCCCGACGTGGGACTCGATCCCGGGTCTCCAGGATCGCGCCCTGGGCCAAAGGCAGGCACCAAACCGCTGGGCCACCCAGGGATCCCTAATCCCCTTTTCTAAGTGAAGGGACCGGGCACAGAGAAACGGATTATCCACGGTCCCATGGCTCCTTCATGGCAAAGTTGGGGCTCGCACACAGGCTGGCTCTAACTCAGCAAGCTTTGCTGTTCCAAGCATGGGCAGAGAGTACAGGGCTCATGGACACTAGGCTGGGCCTCCAGGGCCTCGGATTCGTTTCTAGAAGCTATCCCACCAAGCCCCCAGAGCCCAACCTGCTCTGCAGAGCACCGCCTCAAGTACACGGTGACCCTTATAATTGTGCAGGACACAGTGGGACAAGAGTTAAGTATCTCGAGATCCCTTCAGACTGAAGGGAGGACAGGCTGTCAGAGGACCCAGGGCAGTGTGGCACAATTTCTCTTCTAAGGAGGAAAGTTGGAGAGGCAGTGATTGAGGGGTGCTGGGCCGGCTCCACTGGTGGAGCACAAGATTCCTTATCTTGAGCTCATGAGTTCAAGCCCCACACTGGGTGAAGAGCTTGCTTAAAAAACAAGTTAGTGGGGATCCCTGGGTGGCTTAGTGGTTTAGCGCCTGCCTTTGGCCCAGGGCATGATCCTGGAGTCCCGCGATCAAGTCCCACGTCAGGCTCCCAGCATGGAGCATGCTTCTCCCTCCTCCTGTGTCTCTGCCTCTCTCTCTCTCTCTCTATGTCTATCATAAATAAATAAATAAATAAATAAATAAATAAATAAATAAATAAATAAATAAATAAATAAATAATTGAAAAGAAAAGAAACACTTAAATTGTTAAAAAAAAAGTGATTCAAACATTACCTTAGTATTTGTTTCTCAGCTTCCAAAATATCTCAAAGTATGTTTTTTTTTTTTTTAACTTTAAAAATTCCCCAAGGGATTTATGCTTTTGTTTAAATGTCCACAATCAGATGTTTTCTTAGGATCTACTGTATGGAGGGAAATTTTTGGAAAGCCTCCTGGCTTCCCTGTGTGATGAGAGCGTCTTGTCTTCCCCAGGTGTTTTGTGTGCGCTCACTGGACCCTAGTCTTCCTGGGTGGGAACACAGTGCCAGCCCGCGGCCTCGCTCTTCCATGGGTGGGGAGCCAGACTTGCCCTGCCAGCATCTCACCGGGGGGCTTTCCATAAAAACAGCCTTGTTTTGGTCGAATGTGTTGGTGCATTTTTATCTTTACTTTTTCTTTTCTCAGAGCTTAACAAAAGATTTAGGAGGCAACGCAAAATGCTCAGACTTCACAGAGGAGATCTGTCGTCGAGTACGAGATTTAGATTGAGGATCCAGCGAATGGAGTCTGTCCGTCATTCCCACCCGATGCCACAGGCACCTGTGCTGGCACCTCCTGTCTTGCACACATTTGGTTCTCTTCTTTCCTGACAGTACATTTTTAGATATGGCCTTTTCTTAACAAAATCTGTGCAGAGGGTGCAGGTGACGTCCCTAGGCCTGCTTTCAAAGGACTTTCCCTAAGCGCTTGTTTTATTTATTAAATGTCTATCCAGTATATGTTTTTTGTAAACTCTTAAGTGGACTGTATCGTTTGCCATGTTAATCATTTTAACACTTCAGTTAAAATGGTTTCTTTAGCTATAAATACGATACAGAATTAACAAGAGAAAACAACTTTTTTCAGAAGACACTGTTTTCCTTCGTTTATGAAAAATGTAATAGAAACAAAACAGATTACAGACATGATTGCACAAGGTAACATTCTTATAGAGCTAAGTGGGCATAGGAGGTTTCCTGGAAAGTTCAGGTCAAAACCAGTGACAACGGCATATTTTTTAGTGATGTGGAAGTAGACAGGTGGGTCCTTCAACGTGGATTACTGAGTGTGAATAAAGATTTCAAACCCAAGCACTATGTAATGAGAGATGTATTTTTGGTAATAAGACATAGGTAGTATTTTGGATACAAAGACACGTGTGTTCAGTTACTTTGTTATCTGGAGATGCACCTTCATGGCCAGAGCTTTAATGGAGGGCAGGGGCGGCCTTTCCACTGGACATGTGAAGGTGAGGAGTCTCTGGTGCAGAGCCGGCTACAGGAGCCTGCAGCATGACTCACCCCCCATGGCAGCTGAAGGACCCCACCGGGAATATTCTGGCTGTGAGGGGCTGGGGGTGCTGGCTGGCCTGCCTTGTCCCCATGGCACTGAGCCACTGCCCTCCATGTGCCATAGCAGTGCCAGTGAGAGCTGAGCCCGCAGTGGGGGTGGGCTCTGCTGCTGACCTCTGCCCCTTCCCCTCCCCCCCGCAGCACAACTGTCCTTTATGTCAGACTCTAAGTCACTATTTTTGTGAAAAGCTATGCGACCCCCACAGCAAAGGCCACTCCTGTCCTCTCCTGCCCCTGTGTGGCATTCAAACCCCTGCACTTTGCACACTGCACCCAGAGCACAGGGGATTTTTAGCATGCGTCCCACCTGAGTATGTTTAGGCTTATAAAGCAGACTTCAGGCTCACATGTATTTACTTTGTTCAGGCTGCAGCTTCCTCTGTTGTGTTGGATCGCCCTAATAAAGACTTCAGAACTGACTGAGGTGCATGCTTTCTCCACCTGTCTCCTGGCAAGATGCCGGAGGTCCCTTTGTCTCTGGGTATTCAGGGTGCAGGGGGCTAGTGTCAGCCACTTGCCTTTACAGAATATTCCCCTCAATGCTCTCCTGCACCTGTGCTTGTCCCAGGGTGTCGATGGTCACTCACGCCCATGGCACACTGTCCTATGGCTTAAATACCCACGACTCTGGCCTGGCCTGCCTGCTCAACCAGCAAGAAAGATTGGGTACTTGTTGGCAATTCTGTTAAACAGTTTAATATTCAAATTACACTCAGTACAATCAAACAGGCAGCAGCAATTTATTAAGCTTCAAATCAGTTGGCAATTGTGAGGTGCCCGAGTACCTGGACTCGCAGGGCAGGGTCGGCAGCAGCCACAGGATTCCAGAGTCAGTCTGCCGTTAGGTGAGTTAAACTGTTGGCTTCCCTGCAGGACACAAAGTCACTCTAGCCGCCCTTCCTCTGCCTCCCCCAGCACACAGCCTGCTCACTGGACTGTCCCCCTGCCTGGGACTCAGGCCAGCCACCCGCCCTATAGTTTTGGGAGGACAGCTGATCTCATTTGTCACCTGAACAAAAAGCAGTGCTCAAAATTAAAACTATGCACGTGTGAAGCTTCTTGGCATCATCAGCTACTGTTGGCATCAGACCTGGCGGAGGGCCATGCCAGTGCCGTGTCTGGACGTGGAGGCCTCACAGCCTTGCCAGGAGCTCACACACCCAGACTAAGGGGCTCAGGAGAACCCTCCAAAAGGCCTGCTGTCTTCAGCGGAAACTGGGAGGATGGCTCCAGCTCACTTTCTCTGCTCGTGGTAAAAGGAGTCGATGATGTCTTTATACTTGTCCAGAACCGTGAACCGTTTCAATTTCATCGTGGGACCTGAAAGAGTGATTGGAAGGAGGAAGTGAGGCCTGGACTCAGAAGTCTGGGAAGGGGTGTGGACAGGGTCCGGGACAAGGCCAGCCTGCAAGGTGGTGCCCATGACCCGTGCTCCTGGGACTGCACCCCGGCATGGTCCCAGCAGAGTGATATGCATCACAGAGGACTGGGTCCTGGCACAGCCCCGATAGAGGATCATGCCCGCCTTCTTTAACTTGCACCCGTTTCTCCTCCGTATACTTTCTGCTTTGTCCTTTGGGTGAAGAGATTACTCAGACTATCAAACATAACAGCAGAATGATGGTTTCTTGGTCTCTCATGGATCATTCTGGAGCACGCAAGCCACTGTGCTGTGAGCGCACAGGCAGCCTGGGGACGGCCCCTGGCAAGGAATAGAGGTCTCTGGCTAACACCCACAAGGGTGAGCAAGAAAGTGGCTCCAGTGGCAGCACCAGGCCAACATTTTGACTACGACCTTGTGAGACCCCAAGCCAGAACCTTCCCACCGCCCGCTGCCCCCGGTTAAGCTGCCCTGGATTTCTGACCCACAGAAATCAAGATAATAAATGCTTATTGTCTCAAGCTGCTAAATTTGGGGGTAATTTGTTACAGAACAGTAGTGAGTGACTGGCCTGCCACGTGGGGCATCATGCTTTGTTCGCCTGATGGGCAGGGGATGGCCTGGGCTCGTCAGGCCTCTACCACGGTCTCTGTGAGCGGTCTTTCCCAGATCATTGTTTTTGGGCTTGGTTCTTCCCTCTGAAGCATGGTTGAAAGGGCTCTGATTCAGGTCAGGGGCAGTGTAGCATCCATATGGCGCTAACACACTCCTGGTTGTGTAACTGGAGACCTCAAAGCCAATTGCATATGTTAGCTGTTTAGAGAGGATACCTGTCCTCCATGTGTTGGCACCAGACGAGCAAACGAGCTGTGGTGTCTATGGCAGCTCAGCAGCTCCCTCGAGGTGCTGGAGGCTCCCCTGGCCGCGAGCACCCCAATGTGCTGTAGCCCAGAGTGACTTCATCCATCCAGCGGGGGCTGCGCCAGAGCCAAAGGACTCCAACCCACACACTGACAGGGCCTGGTGACCGACCACTGGTCCCATTGTGATTTCAGGGGGAAATGGCCACACAGTCCCCACAATGTTAAAGGTTGTAGTTCAAATTAATGGATTCCAAAAAAACCAAAAAAAAATTAATGGATTCCAGCACACATTTTGTGAATGTGGCCGGCTCTCCACAGGCTCATGCCCAGGCACAGGGCAACTGTGACCCCCCCGCTGGAAGGAGGTGGCTGTCCATGTGTCTGTGGTTTGCGCTTGTCCTGGCTGCTTCCTGGCAGGTACCTCGAGGGCTCTGCCAAGGCCTCCAACCTCCCACGCAGCCCCTGGAATCATGAAAACAAACAAGCAAGAAAACAAACCCCTACCCAACTCTCCACCGGAGATGGAGAAGTCCTTCTGCAGAATGGCCCACTTCTGGATGTGGTAGGGTCGGGCGGCCGCATTCTTGTTGACCCTCTGGATCCCCTGCTCAATGGCCTTGTACACGGCCTCATCCTTTGTCCCCACGATCTCAGACACGGTGGTGGCTTTGCTGCCCACCCGCTGACAGAACTCCATGGCTTGCTCAGTCAGGTTGTCAGTTGGGTCGGACGTATCGGGGTCCAGCGTGCACTGAAAAGCCAGAGGTCAGGCAGGCCAAGCCTTGCTCTGCGAGACACCAGGCCTGGTCTTGCTGCCGAGGCCAAGTGTGTGGATCGCAGAGTTGTCTCAGAGAGAGGGCTGTAGAATGGATAGGCCACCCTGTGGTGGGAGGACACCTGAAAGGACCTCAGCCAGCAGAACTGCAGTCTGCCACAGGGACCTCCTGAGGCCCCACCCATCATCCTGGACTCTGAGCTTCTAGCACCTTCGGAGCTGGGCTGAGCTGGGACGATGAAGGATTGTCGAGGCAGCACTTTACCAGCCATGTTCCTGCCCCTTAGTGCACGTGGCCAACAGGTGATTCCAGAGGAAAGTCTCGAGATCTGTGGGCGTCCTGGCTTCTGACCCACGGAACCCCTGCCCCTCTAAAGCCAACATACCTTCACCCCCCAACATACCTTCAAGGTGAGAAGCATGGATAGGAACTTCCTCTGGTCCCCGATCAGCATGGCATTGCTGATGATGGGCAGCTCCGTCTTCACGGCCTCCTCGATGGGCACGGGGGGCACGTTCTCTCCACCGGCTGTGATGATTAATTCTGGGGAGGCAGGGCAGAGCACCCCAGCACAGACTTTAGTCCTGGTGCCCGGCTGACCCAGGACACCAGCCTCAGCCAAAGACCCTGGAGGCAGGAGTGGCTGACAGTCTTATGGGTACTCGGCAAGTGGGGGCATGCTCTCAGAAGCCCCTCACACCTGTTGGGGGCACACCTGCTTGAGGGGGTGGCTGTTCCACACTCAGTGTTCCCATTCTTTTGCTCATCATCCAAGACCCTGCCTACTCAGACTTCCCATCCATTGCCCCCTCTGCCCAACTTGTTCCTCAGTGGACCTTCCCCTGACCCCCTGCAAACCCTGCCAACCCCCTGCACTGCCAGTGTACCAGGTCTTGTACTAAGTGTTGCATGTGCACTGGTTCACTGCCCCCTCATGACCAGCCCATGAGGAAGCTCATTCTACAGATGGGGAAACCAAGGCACAGGGAGGTTGTTAGGTGGCATGTCTTTGTAATTATTCTATTTATTATCACAAATGTTCACAATATCCATGCATTCTTGTTGGCATGCTAGACAGTTTTTGTAATGACATGTCTGAGGTCACGTAGTGGAGCAGAGCACAGTGAGGTTCCAGAGCCCCTGCTATAAGCCTCTCACCCTGCCTACACCTTCCCAGTATGCCCTCTTGTCTCTGTCTGGTGCACCCCCTGTTCTGTGGGGGCCAGCTCAGCTGCCCCCTTGGGAAGCCTGCCCTGCTTGAGTACACGCTGGCTCTCCCTGCTCTGAGCTGCTCTCACTGTGTCCACCCCTTGTCCACCGGGTCACTCATCCAGGCTCCACCCAAGACACCTGTGTGAGACCAGGTGCGGGCACTTAGTGCTCTGGTCTCTTCTCTGGAAGGTGGCTCACTGCCAGGCCAGAGGGTAATAAGTGGGCATTTACTAAACACACTGGGACTGTCCCCCCCCCCATTCTAGTTCAACTTGCTGATCACATTGTGTACAGGTCTTATGTGGATGTTGGGCCAAGTAGGGGTGAGACAGGCCCTGGCTGCAGGGAGCTCACCAGGCCATGGAATAGGGGTCCACCCAGATGTTGAACATGAACTAGGTCTAACAGGCAGAGGGCATGTGTGCGCAGCAGGTAAGGCAGGGAGGCCAAAGCAGCAGGGGAGCAGGGCCAATCACAGGCTCCCGTGGCCACTGAGGGGTTGCCCAGGCAGGGGGCAGCCCCTAAATGGCTGGGGCTCCAAGTTTCAGGGCACCAGTGGTCGTCGGGGTGAGGTGTAGTTACCAAGGCATGCTGGCCAGAGAGGAAGCCTTCAGACCAGTAGGCTGGGGGTGGGGGGTGGGGGGCAGAGGTGGGGTGGGCGGGGCCTCAGCCTTGTCTTCCTCCTTCCCCCTCCCCTCCCACCAGCACCTTTCACCCGTTAGCAGCACAGAAGCCCTCAGCAAATGGTATAGAAAGGAGCACCTGCCAGAAATCCTCACAAAACACTCAGGAATCAAAGGTCGAAAGTGTCCTCCCCCATCGAAACCAGGAGCAATCCACAGACGAACGGGGGGTCTGTGTCTGTTCACTGCTGCTCTCAAGGCCCCATCCACACAAGACTCGAGAGAAACACTCAGAAGAAATGGAAAGGAGGAAACGAAAGTTTTGGGTATTTGAAGACAAGGTCCCAAGACCCCAGGCCTGCACAGAAATCAGCTGGCATGCCGGTGGCATGCACATGGATAACCGCAGTGTGTAAACAGCACCCCAAACATAAATTTCTTTGGAGCAGATCTAAGGAGATATGTGCAGAAGTGTCTACACCGAACACAAAAAGACAGTAAACACAAAGCATCGCCAGAGGCACGACATCTAAGGAAACAGCAGGGATGTTCTTGTGCTGGATGCCGATGACAGGAGATGCGGGCCAGCTTCCCAGCTGTGACATTTGTCTTTGCTCTTGGTGGTGTGACTGCCCAGAGGTTTGTTTTGTCTTTAATGTAGTACAGTTTTGTGAGTCCCCCTCCACAGCTCCTGTAGCAGGAGTCCCAGGTGGACCCTCCTCCTTCCTATAGGATGAAGGGTTTCTGTGTTCCTCAGAAGCAGGGAGGGCTTCGTTCTTCTTAAGTAAATGTTCTATCATGCACGAACTAGTTTATTCTGTGATGCCTTCTAAATGTGCTGGCACAACGCATGGATTCCCTGTGACTGTCTTCTGACTTTCTGTTTGCAAGGTGCTGCTGGACGGTGTGGCTGACCGTGGGCACCACGACCTGCCCCTTATGTCGGAGGCCTGGGCTCTGCATTTCCCAGGACTAGCCGGCTTCTGGCTTGGGAGACTCACGTTTTGTGATGTTGTGGAAGTAGACACCCATTTCTGTCTTTGTCCATGAATGAGGATATTCAATTTTTGTTAAATGCCTTCACAATATATGCAGACATGATGATAAACATTTTAAAGCTCCATTAAAAGGATTTGTCATATTATATATCCTGCATTCCTGAATAATTCCACTTAGTCATGATGGGTTATGTTTTATGTGCTGGCATAGGCTGTTTGCTACTATTTAATTTAGGATGTTAGCATATGTATTCATACAAATTGGTAATCTACGGTTTTCTTTTTAAATACAATCTTTCAGATTTTGGTGTCAATGTTAGACTCACCTCACTGAAAATGTGAAAGTTTTCCTTCTTTTCTATGCTCAAAATCAGGTGGAGTGCTGTTGTGATTCCTCAGTGAACCTGCTGGTCATGATGTGTTGTGTGTATGTGTCAGGGGGATGGTCCCTGTTTGTTCCTTGGGAATCCGTCTCTTTAAGTTTTACTGTCTTTTCTGGAACTGCTTGAATTTCCCCAGAAAATGATCTAAGTCATGTTTCTAAATATATCTTGCACAATGCTGAGCGATCTATTCCACGTTTATGGATTGGACGATGCAATATTGCAAGGAGATACATTCTCACCAAATTAATCCACAGATCTGATGGAATAAAAATAAAAATCTTGGCAAGTGTTTGGAGGTTGTCCTACAGATAAAGATGGAGGCTGCAGGCCTCACACAGCCCGATGTCAGGCCCAGTCACAGAAAAACTCAGGGTCCCGGGACAGGCAGCCCAGGTGCCTCCCACAGTCCCCTGGTGGGTGACGCCCTGAGGAGAGGCTGGGTCAGGGGCTACTGACCCGGAGAAAAGGCATCTGGGTCCCAATCTTTAACCATACTGTTGTAAAAGGTGGTCCAGCTGGGCCTTCCCAGGTGCAGGTCCTCACTGGCTGGCACCAAGCCACGCCCTAGGCGGCGCTCTCGACCCACCTGAGCCACTGGAGATTGTGTGTGCAGCCTCAAGGCTCAGGCCAGGCTCCCCGACTCTATCCTGAAAGTCAGTCTTCTGTGGCCAGCAGGACCCAGGCTGGATGGAACCCCGGCCTGCGCGATTTCCAGAGCTGTTCACCCACTTCCTGAGCTGGTTTCCCCTGGGAAATGGTGTGGACTCCCCAGACGGATGTGTTTGGGCTTACACTCCCTTAGGCAAAGTCCCCAGCTGACTGCTGGGAGGGCCACAATCTTCACAGGAAATTTCTTTGAAGTCTCCTGTTTTATTTTATTTTTTCCTGTTTTATTTTAAATGCTATATCCAATCTGTGTTCTTGATATCATGCCCACATTTGCATGTAAAATTCACACTATGTCCCAGAATCTTCTGGAAAGACCTGCTTTGCTTTTCCAGGGAGTCTGGATCCAAGCTCCACCATTTCCTAGCTGGGTGACCTGACACAAGTCCCTTCACCTCTCTGGGTGTCCTCATCAGGAAGCCAATGTGAGAGTGCCCCCAGGACACAGCAGCGAGGTCCAGGTGCACAGACTTGACTCCTCCGGGCTCAGGACTCCTGAGCACAGATGGCGGAGCGCACCCCCCACTCCCCTGCAATACACACGCCTGCAGCTGCCAAGCCGGCCAGTGGCACTCACCTTTGAGGCGCCCAGTGATGTAGAGGAAGCCGTCTGCATCCAGGCGTCCAGTGTCACCCGTGTGTAGCCAGCCCTCGGCGTCAATGGCCTCCCGCGTCTTGTCCTCCATGTTCAGATAACCCATGAAGATTGTGCGGCCCCATAGACAGATCTCCCCGACGCCCTCCGAGTCCTCGTTCACCACTTTCGCCAGGCAGCCGGGCACCACCTTCCCAGAGCTGGAGTTGGTCAGGGGGCTCAGTCAGACCTCAGCCCAGGGGCAGGCCACAGCTGTGAACTCCAGGTCTGCAACCTCTCACTCTTCCCAATGGCCAGAAGGCGTCCCCTCCCAGCATTTTTGTATTTTAACAGGGACTTAGAGGTATAGCCAATAAGGTAATGATGGAGGAAGGACAGCACAATCTCAAGCTCTGTGATGGGCCAGCAGGACGGTGAGGGGGCAGGGTAAGGTCACAACAGGTAATCCCTCCATTCTCCCCAGAGCTGACTGGACTCTGGAGAGCAGGACTCTCGCCCTGCCTGCCTACTGGAGGATCAGCCCTATCCCCTCAACCTCCTCCTGTCCCCGCCATCCATCCCTAGCCAAGTGAGGCACCCTCCCACATACCCCACCCACAGGACAGAGGGAAATCCCTCCCCCAGAACCTGCTCAAGGCCCCAGGGCTGCAAGGGCCCCATGACACTTGGGTGCAGACCACCTGTGGGAGATAGGCCTCCAGTGGACCCAGCCCAGGATGGACCTGGTGACACCTGAGACCCAAACAGCAGTGGGCACCAAGGATGTCAACAAGGGCATGTGGGCACACACGTACCTATAGAGCCGGTAATTGTAGGGGCTGGACATGAAGTGCGGGCCTGACGTCTCACTGAGGCCATAGCCCGCATACAGGCGGATGTTGAGGCCCAGGAAGAAGTGTTGCGTCTCGGCTGTCATGGGAGCTGCTCCATAGAAGCTCTTCTGACATTTGGCAAAACCGAGTGCCTGGCGGACCTTGGCCAGCACTAGGTAATCCGCCAGTCTGGCTGTGAAGGGCTTCAGGTCACTGGTGGGGGAGAGAGACTGGTCCACAGAGGGACACACATGGGTTCACGTGTACCAGGTGGGCATTGGGCAGGTGCGCGCTGGCTTGGAGACAGATGTGTGCATGCACCTGTGTGCACTACGTCCTGAGCTTGGAGGTCAGAGTGGGCTGTGAACAGGTGCACAGGCAGCAACATACAATAAAACACAGGTGCAGAGATGTGAAGTACGTCTGCACAGACATGCATGTGCAAAGGTGTGTGATCCCACCTGAAGCCCACAGATGAGTCGTTAATGTATAGTCAATTCCCATGACTATGCAAATGAAGCCATATTTGCAGACATGTGTACACACCTCACCAGACATGATACAGTTTCACGGAATCACCAGTAATGGAAAATATTTCTAAATTGGAACCAGCCAGGTCCATGCCACTAACCTCCCAAACACTATTGTGTGAATCTGGGAAGCCATCAGAAGGCTGCGGGTCCCTCGGCAGCTGGAAAGACTGAGTGCTCATCACTGTGGCCCTCAGCCCCAGCCCCCTACAGAGTCAGGAAACCCTCAGGAGCCATTGTCAGAGGAGGTGAATGCTGCCCAGACAGAGTGAGTCAGTCTTCCTGGTCAGAACCCAGGGACAGGGTGACAGTCTCCTGTGGAGTCTGGGAAGAGATCTGAAGCCCGGCCCCTGAGTGGGCTTCTGCACAGGGGTCCCGTGGACCAGCCCAGCCTATCAGATCCTTGGTTGCTTACTGGAGTTATGCCCCAGCCCTGATACCTCCCAGACTCCTGCCCCCTGTCCCTCCATACCTGCCTGGGCAGGTGAGGTTCTGCTCCAAGGTCACTGACATGGCCCAGAGCAGCATCTTGCGCCGGATGAAGCCAGACTGAGCTGTCACCTCCTGGATCCTCTCCATGATCTTCTCCCATATGCGAGGCACCCCCATGTGGGACGTGGGCTCCACCTCCCGCAGTGTGTTCAACAAGCTCCCCTGTCCAGTGCCAGAGAGGAAGTCCTGCCGGCTCAGTGCCAGGAAGCCCCCACACCACAGGCAGCTGCACGTACCTCCCAGGCACCCACACAGGTGCATGCACCCACCTGCACACAACCTGTCCCATACTATCAGCCTCCACTGGGCGGCCATCCCCATTGTTCATGGACCAGAGGCTTCAGTGCTCTTCAGTCCCCTCTCAGCCCTGGGGGTGGCCACTCTTTCTCCTCTAACCCAAATGTGACCATCCCATTCCCCTAAGCAGTGACTAGTTTAGGGATGGACGAGGAACACCATTTGGGCCGGGAGGGGCAGATGGAGGGGGGTCTGTGGGCGGGCGTCTGGGAGAGCTCTCCTCGCAGTTAAAACAAGTTTCCAAAGAATGGGTGCGGCATAGGAGACTAGGAAGCAGGGCAGGGTCGTGGCCATCTGTGGCCGTGCTCTGAGGACGATGTACCCCTTCATGGCACGTGGACCCTCTCCTTATGGGACACCTCAGCCCCTTCTCAGGTGGTCACGTGGGCTCTGCTAACAGCAACGGGAAGAATTCTGACTGAGAAATGCATGGGGCACCTGCCCACTCACAAGTGCACACGCCAGCCCCCCGCCCCCCATACATGTACCAGTGGGTATGCTGCTGCCCACATACTCAGACACCTGCTCGGCAGAGGGACTGACCTTCAGGGCATCAGGCTCGGCAAAGCAGACCTGCGCCCCCCACTGGATGCCTGTCCACAAGTCGTAGATCTGAGCAGCAATGTGGCTGAGGGGCAGGTAGCTGACCACCACCTCCTGCTGGACTTCTGCTGGCTGAATGTCGCCAGCCTGGCTGCCATACCGGGCTGTCCACGTGATCTGGAGGACAGGTAGATGGGCCCTGGCGTGTCCCCAAGCCTCCCCTGGAAGTGCTCACCCCGGGGGCTTGGGCTACTTCTGGAGGACCTCCTCCCAGTCATCTCTGCAGGGAGTGCCCAGTGCAGACCTCCCTCCCCTCTTCCTCACCACCACTGTATTCGCTCTGGACCACAGACCCAAGGGCTGTCCTATGTCTCCTACACCCTGAGCAGCAGGGCCAGAGGGCTGCTAGGGCAGGTCCAGTGCACAGGTCCACCCGCAGCTCACACCCACCCATCTGGGATCTGTCTTACATTGTCCTGACTCAGCATCACGCCCTTGGGGCTCCCAGTGGTGCCAGAGGTATAGATCAGTACGCAGCACTGGTTAGGCTGCTGTGTGTCGATGATGGCGTCCAGTGTCTCCTCAGGCAGCTCATCCCCCAGCTCCATGAATTCCTCCATCTGCAGCCAGGAGGGAGGGGCCGGACACCTGATCAGCTGGGCAGCTGGGCAGGCCCCACCTGCCCCCTGGGCCCTCCACCCATACCGTGTACACATTGGCCATCTTCTTTGGAGGAGCTTCTCCATATATCACTACTGCCTTCAGATGTGGCAGATTTTTCCAGACCTGTGTTGGCAGGAAAAGCAATGGGGATTTATTAAGAAAAAGTTACCTGCTGAGAGGAGCCCCATCTCCAGGTGTCAGTCAGCCTGCCAGGCACCGGTCACCGGGTTCCCATGCTCCTACCTCTGACCCAGTGGTACACCTGCCTTCTTCATGCATAGCTATACCTCAAGAGAAAACCAAGCATCCCAAGGCCTGTTATCCCACATTAGAGACCTTTGTAGGAGAGAAAGGGATGGGGGGGGGACAGAGAAGGAGGGGAGCAGAGAGGGGAGGGGGACAAAAAGGGGGGAGGGGGAGGGAGGGAGGAGAATAGGATTTGGTCGTCTTGCTGAGTGGAGGTCACAGCCCAGAGATCAGGAAAGCCATGAAGGCTAGAAGCTGTGGGACCGGACACTAGTGAGGAGAAACTAGGAAGAGAGAGTTCTAGAAATCTCTGGTCATGTCCCTGTGCTCCGGAGTGTTTGCTGCATACTAGCATGCAGGGTGGAGAGTGAAGCCCAGGGCAGGAGCTCCTGAGGGGCCAGAACCATCCATGTTGGGATGGGGTGCTCAGTGGGACCCAGAAAAGCCAACCTATAGCCCTGGCATTAAAAGGAGCCTTAGAGCAAAGGACCTGTAAATCTGCCCAAAAGGTTAAACACAAGTCTCAAAGTAAAGTTCAGAGAGAGAGAAAAACAGGAAAAACATGATCCTGGGAGAAGAACAGAACACCCAACATACATGTAATTGGAGTCCCAGGAAATATTTTTTTTAAAATTGAAAAGCAGTCTGAGAAATTTCCAAATTTGATTATAAATCCACCAATTCAAGACTCGCAATGAAGGCGGGCTCAGTCAGTGAAGTGTCTGCCTTTGGCTTGGGTCATGATCTCGGGGTCTTGGGATTGAGTCCCACATTGGGCTCCCTGCTCAGCAGGAGTCTGCTTCTCCCTCTGCCTCTGCCCCTGCTTGTTCTCTCTCTCTCTCTCTTTCTCTCTTTCTTTCAAATAAATACATAATTTAAAATTTTTTTTATTTTAAATACATAAAATCTTTTTTTTATTTATTTTTTATTTTTTTAAAGATTTTATTTATTTATTCATAGGCACAGAGAGAGAGAGGGGCAGAGACACAGACAGAGGGAGAAGCAGGCTCCATGCAGGAAGCCCAATGTGGGACTCGATCCTGGGTCTCCAGGATCACACCCCAGGCTGCCGGCGGCGCCAAACCGCTGCGCCACCGGGGCTGCCCTAAATACATAAAATCTTAAAAAAAAAACTCACAGTGAACTCTAAGCAGGATAAACACAAATAAAAACCACACTAAGAGACAATATAATCAAATTGCTGAACACCAGTAATGAAAAAAAAATCTTAAAAGCAGCCAGAGAAGAAAAAAGAACCTCTTACGCTATTGGTGGGAATGCAAGCTGGTGCAGCCACTCTGGAAAACAATGCAAAGGTTCCTCAAGAAGTTGAAAATAGTTACCCTACAACCCAGCGATTCCACTACTGGGTATTTACCCCAAAGGACATAAACACAGTGATTTGAAGGGGGGCACCTGTCCCCCAGTGTTCATAGCAGCAATGTCCACAGCAGCCAAAACTGTGGGAAGAGCCCAGATGTCCACTGACAGATAAATGGATAAAGAAGATGTGGTGTATACACAATGGAATATCACCCAGCCATCAAAAAGAATGAAATCTTGTCATTTGCAACAACAAGGTTGGAGCAAGAGGGTATTACGCTGAGTGAAATGAGTCAGAGAAAGAAATTATCATATGATATCACTCATATGTGGAATTTAAGAAACAAAACAAATGTGCAAAGGGGGAAAAAGAGGAAAACCAAGAATCAGACTCTTTTTTAAAAAAGATTTTACTTATTTATTTTAGAGAAAGAGCATGCAAACAAGGAGGGAGAGGGACAAGCATGCTCCATGCAGAGCATCGAGCCTGAGGCGGGGCTCGATCCCATGACCCTGAGATCAGACCTAACCGAAACCAAGAATCAGATGCTTAACTGACTGAGCTCCCCAGGCACCTCCAAGGAAGAAACTTTGAACACAGAGAAGACACTGCTGGTCACCAGGGGCAGCTGGTGGTGGGGGCATGGGGGAACAGGTGATGGGGATAAAGGAGGGCACGTGTCCTATGAGCACCGGGTGGTGTAAGGAAGTGCTGAATCACTATAGTGTTACACCTGAAACTAATATTGCTGAAAACTAAAATTATATCAACTGCACTGGAACTAAAATAAAAACTTAAAAAATCAAAAAAATAAAAGTAAATAAAAGCAGCCAGAGAAACAAGCTACCCTAGATACAGGGAGAAGATACAAAGATACAAAGTTTCTTCTCATCAGAAACTATGTAAAGTTGAAGACCTTGGAAAGGAATCTTTAAAAGGCTGAGAGAAAGAAAAAGAAATCCTATCAACACAGAATTTTAAACCACATGAAAGTACCTTTCAAAAAAATGAAAATAAACATGTCTTCAGATATGCATTGCAAGAAATGTCGAAGAAAATTCTCAAGGCAGGAAGACCATAGCCAAAGCAAATGTGAGAGAAGGAAAACTGTCAGCAATGGCCAATGTGGGCTGCCTGGGTGGCTCAGCGGTTGAACACCTGCCTATGACCCAGAGCGTGATTCCAGAGTTCTGGGATCGAGTCCCACATTGGGATCCCTGCAGGGAGCCTGCCTATGTCTCTACCTTCTCTCTGTGTCTCTAGTGAATAAATAAAATCTTTAAAAAAAAATGGCCAGGGATCCCTGGGTGGCGCAGCGGTTTAGCGCCTGCCTTTGGCCCAGGGCGCGATCCTGGAGACCCGGGATCGAATCCCACGTCGGGCTCCCGGTGCATGGAGCCTGCTTCTCCCTCTGCCTGTGTCTCTGCCTCTCTCTCTCTGTGACTATCATAAGTAAATAAAAAAAAAATTAAAAAAAATGGCCAGCGTGTGGGTAAATATGAAATACATTTTTCCTTCTTTTAAAATGCCTTTGAATGATCCTCGACTGTAGAAAACAATGAGTTGTAGGGTTTGTAACCTGGATGGTAGTAGAATGGAGGCAAGGGCGCCAAGGATGGGGAGGAGGAGGGATGTTGGCGGGAGCCCCTGCGTGGAGTAGCAGAACCCCGTCCTGGCGTACGCAGTGAGAGTTGTGTAATAGCTAAGCAGACCGTGCTGAGTTAAACATGCAGAAGGTAAACCCCGGAGCAACACTAATGCAATAACTAACTAGCCCCTGGAGATAGAATGGAATAACGAAAGATGAAATGTAGATAAGAAACTCAGGCCAAAGGAACTCAGGACAGAGCGGACGCGGGCCAAGGAGAAGATGGGAGATACAGAAACAGTCGGTTTACAGACAGTGTGGTCAGGTGGGAAGGGCGAGACCCAGCTCTCTGTTGTCCACGAGAAACCTGCTGTCAACACAGGGACACAGGTGGGTTACATGGGACTCAGGGCAGGCATCAAGCAGGAGACGTCTGGGGTTTATCAATTTAAGACACAGTAGCTCCTTTTCAGGAACGTTTCTTACTGATAAAGGTGCTGTTGCACCAAGAGGACAGATGAGCCTAAAGACATGTACATCACAGCACTTCAAAGTATATGAAGCAAAACCCAATAGAATGGAAAGGGGAAACGGACAAACCCACAGTAACACCTGCAGATTCCACACTCCCTCTCTGAGTCTTTCATGGAAAAGTAGACAGAAAATCAATAAGGACAGACTATTTAAACCTTATGGACACCATCAACCATGCTGACATCATTAACTTTTATAGGGCGTTGTACCCAACAATTGCAGAATGCACCTTCTTTCAAATTGGCTGCGAACATTAGTCAAAACAGACCATCACCGTGCCTGGCGCACATGCCAACAGGGCGCTCCAGAGAGTACAGAGCCCCAGATAGTGAGAGAAAATTCTTCCTCTGGAGGAGAGTCCCAGCCAATGACTTAGAAAACCAACATTTTGCCACCACTCATGAAATAATTAATTCAGGCAAAGACCATCAGGGCTGAAGGTTAATGGGAAATGCCACAGTGGACAACAAGCAGTGCCCCCTCCCCAAATGCGCTGATGCTCAGCTGCCCGCGGGGGGGGGGTGGGGGGGGCAGAGCAGGTGTCTGAAATGCATGAAGCCTTTCCATCTAACAGCAAGGACAGAAGTCAGCGGTTGGGTTGAGTAGCAGGGAGAATGTGGGACACTGCTCAGGACAGCCGACCTAGTTCTGCAGCCTGTCAATGGCAAAGACTCCCACGTGGTCAGAAGCACCCGTGGGCGTGTTCAAGGCAGGGTGCTGGCCCCACGCCCAGTGTCCCCTGCAGGAGTTCCAGGTGGGGCATGCAAGGCTGCTGGTGTCCACCCGGAAGCAAGGTGGGGCTTTGCTTTGAATTAAAAGACCCTTGGAGACTCTGCAGCAGCAGCCCGTGCCCTGGGGCAAGTATTTCCTAACTCAAGTCTCTTCAGTTGCAAATGGTCAGGGGGACGGCATCAAGGGTCCCTGGTGATATCCAGAGCCAGAGCCAAGCCCGGACAGAGCTGGGCAGGATCTGCTGGGAGGCATGTAAAACTCCCCTGGCCTCCCTGCCTGGGATCCTGGGGAGCCCATGTGGAGAGTGAAGAGAAGGACCCCTGCCTGCCTGGCTCTCAGGGAAACCAGGAAGATTGAGGCCCAGAGAAGTTGGCTCGGGGGACCTGGTCAGCTCTTGGCTGCACATGGGGCTAGTGACTCCTTTGCTTCAGAACCCTCTGGGGCCTGCAAAGCCCCCGGACCAAGGGACATCAGAGCCCACGAGTCCCAGGGCACCCGGGCAGGCCAGTGCAGGATGCCCCTGATGGTTATCCTCTCTAAACTCTTGCACCCTTTTCTATCTCGTGAATGGCCTGAGTGCTTGGGGTGCGGGTGGGGGTGTGAGCAGGGGTGCCAAAGTCAGCTCAAGTTCACCTCTACCTCTTACAGCAACTCATTGCGGCCCCGATAATTCGCACCCCCTCCACTCCCTGATCTCAGGCATGTATATGACCCAGACAGGATGGAGACATTCGAATGAGATCCTGAAAACACGTCAGAGGCTCCCACGGGGGCAAGGCGGTCCCCTTCCTACAACGGTGAGCCAACTGGACGGATCTTAGTTGTAACACAAAAGCAGGTCCAAAGTGCCCATTAAAAAGAGGGTTTTCGAAAGAATCCAAAAGGACAGGGACCAGGGAGCACTCCTGGGGACTCCTGCCAGCCATTGGAGGGGCCTGGAGCCTGCAGGCAGGACAGGCCCGCTGGGCCCTCATCTGAAACCAACCAAGCAGGGCAGCAGCAGAGTGTTCACCCAGGCACAGGCCCAGGAGACCCACTTGTTTCCCCACTGAGATGCTGGTGGGGTGCGAGGCTCCCTCTGCACCCTCCTCCCCAGCGACTGTGGCTTGGGACCCTGTGATGAATTCCCTTCTGGTCCCAACGCAGCCCCTGGGTCCCTGTGCCGTCCTCACAGGCTCCCTTGATTGGCTCTCCCGGTTCCCTTATAAAACCTAGCGTCCTGGTTCCCTTATAAAACCTAGCGTCCTCCCCCTGCTGCCACCTTTACCAGGGACAGGACGTGGAGCAAGCCGTGCATCACCTCTCTGGCACTGTTTCCTTGTCTGCAGGATGGGGTTGCAAGACAGTTTCTCGGGGCCTCTGAGCTGTAGGCTGATGCTCAGCACCTGAGCACTGTTATCACCACGGAGCTCTGGTGCCTCCTCCTTGAGACCCCTCGGCCCCTCAGGGCTGAGATGTACATGGGGTAAACCTAACCTCCAGGTTCTGAAAGCCCCCTAAGTCCTAAAAACAATCCCTTTCTTTCTTCCCATGAAAGTCAAGACTTAAGCAATATAATAATTGAAAAGCACATATAGGATACTGCTATGGTTTTAAAAAAAAAAGGGTGGGAGGGCAGCCCAGGTGGCTCAGCCGTTTAGCATCACCTTCAGCCCAGGGCGTGATCCTGGAGACCTGGGATGGAGTCCCATGTAGGGCCCCCTGCATGGAGCCTGTTTCTCCCTCTGCCTGTGTCTCTGCCTCTCTCTCAGTCTCTGTGTCTCTCATGAATAAATAAATAAAATTTTTTTAAAAAAGGATACTGCTATAGATTGAATCGTGGCCAAGTCTCTGGCTTGGGCCCCTCTGGGGATCCAGATCCCGCAGTCCTGATATCAGGGGCAGGTCAGGAGCCGGGACCCTGATGACATCTCCAGAACCAGAGCCAAGCCACCACGTCGATCCCAGAGGCCTCTGGGATATAAGGAGCCCTTGAGATCTGGCAGGTGGCCAGTGCAGCTGGGCCAGCTCAGGGGTGTCCCTAGGCCACCACACCCTGGCCGTGGTTCATGTGGGATATAGACAATCAGAGGTGGATGTTAAGTAAATCCCACCCTGCAGAGGAGATCTAGCAGGCTCAAGGGGTGCTTTCAAGCTCTTGCTATGCCCCCGCTGTCCTTAGAAGACTTTATAAAACTTGTACCCCCTGCCCCATGGCAACCCCCCACCCCTGACTCTGCACTAAAAGTCAGGTTCTAGTGCTCAGGCTGTCCCAGCCCTGGGCCACCCTCCAGGCACCAATCCTTCTGCCAGCAGAGGACCCAGTGCCCACGGGAAGACCCTGCCCAGAGGGAGAGCCACAGGAGGCAGTGGACCTGCTGGTGGCCCTAACCCAAGGCCCTGCCACCCCCTCCTGGGTTCCCCAATCTTCAATGTCCCCACCCAGCCAGTGGGTAAGCACCCTCTGCCCTGCCTTGTTCTATGTGTATCTATGTTTCATGGGGTTGCTGTTGAGCATGAGGAGGACCCCAGGAGGGAGGGTGGAAAAGTAATCTGTGAGCTGGACGACCTCAAGGACACCTGGCCTCTGGCCCCCACGTCCGCCTCCGCCTCCCCCTCCCCCAAACCTTCAGGATCTTCTCCAGCTGCTTCTGTGTGTCAACCACAATGATGTTGGCACGGCTGTCGTGGGCAATGTACTGGCAGGCCTCAGAGGAGCTGGTGGTGTAGATGCCAGTGACAATGCCGCTGCAGGAGACCCAGGAAAAGTTCGTGTCTGAGCTGGAGCAGAAGGCCACTCCCTCAGCCCAGCCTCTGCCCCAGAGAGCTGCCACACCTGGATAGGCAGGGCTCCCAGACCAACTCAGCACCGCTATTCCAGCAGTGGGGGCAGAGGGGTACCTGGGAGGAGATGGGGTCTGTGGAGGGCACAGGGGCCTCTGAAAAGAGGAAACAGCTCTCTTCCCACTCTCTGCCCGCCCCCGACCCACCAGACACTCTGCTTCTCCCCCAGCCACTCACCCTGCAAATACGGTGCCCACCGCCGAGAAGAACCACTCTGGGGAGTTGAAGCCGAGAATGGCCACGCTGTGGGCCTGCTCCAGGCCGAGCTCCAGGACCAAGGCAGACAGGTCAGGTCAGCAGGCATGGAAGGGGGCCTCTTGCTCCCAGCAAGGCCCCTTCCAGACCACAGGGACCACCCGCCCTGGCTGAACCCAGTGGGAGATGCCCTGGGCCCTCGCTGCCCCTCCAGGGGCTTTCCAGGGAGTGGGGGCCTCCACCCAGCACACCTGGCAGCCCAACCCACCTGGCACATGTGAGCACAAGGGAAAAACAAGTGTGGAGTGGCTGACAGGCGTGGGGAGGGCTCCCGAAGCATCAGAGCCCTGGTCCAGGGCCCAGCACACACCCATGGCCCCAGAAAGGGTAGTGGTTTTGCAGTTGTTTGTCCTAAAGGCTTGCCAGGTGGGGGTCAGGGGGGAGGTCATCGAGGGGCCAGAGCTGGAAGGCAGGGCTGGGGAAGGGAAGGGCTACATCTCCAGGGCCTCACCTTGAGGAAGCCCTTGGCAGTTCTCCGGGCCAGCAGATAGTACTGAGAATAGGAGATGTGTTCCCACGTGCCCTGACGCTTGAAGCCCAGAGCACTCAGGTGTCCGTACTTGTCCAAGGCCTCATAGAACATCTGGTGCACAGTGTAGGGGGGCTGCGGGCAGGCCGGGTGCAAGCGTGGGCGCACACGGCCATCGGCCCGGGTGGTCCACAACGTCTCCTCTGCGGGGGAGGGGAAACCATAGCTGGGACCAGGCTGGCCTAGGGTCATCCCTCCGGGCCCTGGTCCTCCCGTGGGCAGAGCTCCCCAGCCTCTGGCCCCAGCCATGCTTTGGGTCCTGGGCCATGGGTGCTGGTAGACAAGCAAGGGACTGGGGTAGGTGGGAGGCTGCCTGGAGGAGGCAGTCTGATCTGCAGCCCTGAAGCCAGGCAAGGGTTCAGGATGTCACGAGGAGATGGAAGCCATAGAGACATCGGGGGCCTGGACCTTTTCCTGTCTTCATGGCACCGGGCCTGGCTCCTAGAGGCCAGGTGGTCAGCAGAAGCTGGGCCTCCTCTGAAGAGCAGGGCACCAGACCTCAAGGGTTTCCATCCTTCCTCTGCTTCCTGAGAACTGGAGACCCAGCTGGACAGAGGGTCAAAGCCACAGAAACAGCAGCCCTCCCAAGGGGGTGCCTGGGCACAGATGGCTGGGACTAGCCTGAAATGTGTCCCAGCCGCAGGGACAGCCTTCCCTCGTGCCCACCAGGTGCCCCACCCCCAAACCCCCATCCTTGGGATCCATCAGCAACACAGGTGCTGGCGCCTCATCTTGCAGATGGGGCAGCGGCAGCTCAGAGAGGCCCAGTCATTTTCCCGAGGCCATAGAGCAGACTGGTGTGCCCAATGTCACTGCTCACAGGTGGGCCACCATCCAGGCTGCCAACTGCATGTAGTAGGTGGGAACAGATTTGCGGTTCAGCACGTGAGACTTTAGGTCTATTTTCTTGGAGGAAAGGCAAGGATTCAATCATCAGGGATGATAAGAGGATCAAGGGAAATGGTGTATATGAAGAGCCCCGGCACCTCATCGGTGCTCGATAAATGCACACTAATGCTTTTCCAAGTTCTCCAAATTCTGAGGAGGCTTGGATGTGTAGTCTAGATGCTTCTGTCCATGGGGCCTCCTTTCCCCAGGCCAGCACCGTCATTCTCAGCAGATGGTCTGCGGGGGAAGGAGGGCAGCTCTGCCACCTACTGGCCGGACGGTGTGCGTGGCCCCAGTGGGCACATGTCCTTTTCAGGCGACAGGACCTCTGAACCTCAGACATTTGGCTTGCATGTGGACTGTGAGGTTGTGACAGAAAGAGGTGAAGACCCCAGGCTAGGGCAGGACAGCTGGTTCCTCCTTCTGTGGAGGCCACTGAATCTGCTACACAAAGATGTACATAAGTGCTACTTATGACAAAACGAGGAAACTACCAAACACCTGTCAGCTGCTGAGCAAAAGTCAAATGTGGCTCTCCACACCTGAGAATACAGGTCCGCTCTGCAAAGGCACCCGGGACTGGTCTGGACCCAACACACCTGAGCCTCAGAAGCGTGTTCAGTGAAAGCAGCCAGAAGGAAATGACAGCCTATTGAAGGGAACTGTTCAGAAAAGGCAGACAGGAGACAAGGTAGGGTAGTGGTTGCCTGCTGGCAACGGGGAGTCACCCCAGACGGGCACTAAAGATATTTTTGGGGTGATGGAAATGTTCTAAACTTAGATCACAGTGAAACTGGTGCAACTATAAAAATTTGCTACAAATAATTGAAAAGAATAATTTTTTTTCAGTGAAAACTCATTATTTTAAAATGGTAAATTTGATGCCGTACAATCATACCCCAATAAAGCAGTTCTAATACCTGGGCAGTTGTTCCCTTCCTGGCCCCTAAACCAGAAAAAATGGATCCTCCCCACAGGTGCTCCTCCCTGAGGGTACTCCTCCTCCCTGAAGGTGCTCCTCCCCATGGCTCCTCCTCCCCATGGCTCTTCCTCCCCATGGCCACTCCTCCTGATGGCTCCTCCTCTCCTGCCAGTGCTCTGCTGCATTTACCCATTGTCCCCTGATTGCCAAGATCAGAGACGAGTTTTATAATCTGTTGCTACATCTTCCCTCAGCCAGAAGTTTTAACTTCATTATTTTTTTCAAAAGTTTTAACTTTAACACATAATCTTTTTAAAATCATAAAACAATATGTACTTGTCAGAAATAGGACACAGTTTAGAAATGTGTGTTATAAAACCTCACGGGCTGTCCTGAACTCTACGCCTCTAGGGAGCCTTGCTGATGTTGGGCGTGTGTGCACCGTACTCGTACAAACACACACAAGGAAGTTAGACTTTCTCTTGTCACTGGGGTCACTTTCATTTTCTATCCAAAGGACAAAAAGGACCCTGTTACTCTTGTGTTATTTATTTTTTTTAAGATTTATTTATTTACTTTAGAAATTGAGAGTGAGGGGATCCCTGTTTGGTGCAGCGGTTTGGCGCCTGCCTTTGGCCCAGGGCGCGATCCTGGAGACCCGGGATCGAAACCCACGTCGGGCTCCCGGTGCATGGAGCCTGCTTCTCCCTCTGCCTGTGTCTCTGCCTCTCTCTCTCTCTCTCTCTCTCTCTGTGTGTGTGTGACTATCATAAATAAAAAAAAAAAAAAGAAATTGAGAGTGAGTGGGAAAGAGAAGGGGAGGGAGAAGCCCACTTGATCTCAGAACCCCGGGATCATGAAATGAGCTGAAACCAGGAGTCAGACACTTAATCTAATGAGCCACCAGGCACCCTGGGCCTTGTTACTATTGTATTAGTCAAGTGTAATAAACCCCAAATGCCCAAAGGAGTCAGGTGGCTCAGGTGTCAGCATCACAATAAATAATGTGTAATGATGGGTGCCTGGATGGCTCTGTCAGTGAAGCATCTGCCTTCGACTCAGGTCAGGACCTCAGCATCCTGGGTGGGGAGTCTGCTTCTCTCTTTCCTCTGCCCCTTCTGCCCCCAGCTCATGTGCTCTCTCTCTCTCAAATAAATAAATAAAATCTTAAAAAAAATAATGTGTAAAGATAAGAAGGGCAGGAATGAAGCGATCCAGGGTTTGCATAGGAAACAGGCCACAGTCTGCCTTCCCACAAAGACACAGGGTCTTTCTCACCATCCTGGAAACACACGGCTCTGGCTGTGCTCCTTGCTCTTGGTAAAGAACAACATTCAGGAAGGACAACTACAGTCCATGGGGACAGTAACTGTGTCAGGGAGGCCACAGGGCGTGGTGGGGATGGTGAGCACACGGCGGTCACCTTGGCTCTGGCAGCTGGGGCCAGCGGGAGGACATCTGGGTGTCTGTGTGCAATCCCCGCATTTTTAACTGTTGGCTCACACTTTTAAAAAACATCATGCCGACCAAATCAAACGTAGCTATCAAAAATGACCTGTCCTTGGTTCTGTGACCCCAGCAGATCTCTGGGGGCACACATGGGTGGGTGCGGCACCCGCCGCAGCCCCTTCCCCAGCTGCATACACTCAGATGGCTCCCAGCTTCCTGCCCTTGATCCAGGCTTTCCAAAGGACAGATCTCCAGAAGGGGGTTCATTGAATCTGAAGAAAAAAGCCTTTAAACTTTAATGGACATTTTAGACAGAGCCGCTCCCTTCCTAGGGCATGGCCCTGCCTGTCCCCAAGTCAGCTCTTGCCCTATGGTGACCCCGTCAGAGGAGGACAGAGGGGATGTAAAGAAAAGGGATGGTGGTGGGTCTTCGAGCCTGGCTGCTCCGCCCAGGGATGAGGCTGGCCTGGAGGACAGGCGCCTGGCTGCCGGTGAGGAGAGGCCCAGGTCTCCAGAGGCCCAGTGACTCTGCTGCGCACGGAGGACCGCAGTGGCCATGGTGCGTTGTGTGCCTGCCCGCCTCGTGACCGGTGGGGTGCCCATATCCTACTCCCAGCCTCTGCCGCAGCTGGAAGCTCTTGAAAGCAGGTGTGACTGGAGTGCAGACGCCCAGCCCAGAGTGGAGGTCAGGGGGCTTTGGGGAAGAAGGTACTACCTTCTGTCCCGTCTTGGTCCCCAGAGGCTGGGCTGACCGACCACAGGTCTAAGGGACACAGGCCTCGCTGCTCTTCCCTCCCACTGCCCCCCAGCATGGCCTGACAGTGATGCAGGTCACCCCTGTCCCCAGCGCTGAGAGAGGCCGGCCCCCAGCAAGTGTCTGCCCGACACAGCCTCGTGAACCCCTGTGCTACACGCCTGGGAGCCCGGCTCAGTGTCCTCTACTCCTGCCTGCCGCAGCTCGGGGCCTTAGGGCCTGAACCAGGGGAAGATGATGCTCCAAGCCTGGGGGCCTCACGCTGCCCTTTGTCATCACAAGGCCCTGTAGGGCCCCTTGGCCATTGGCTCAAGCTGCTCCCTCTCCCAACCTCAGCTCTGTCTGAAAAGAAACCCTGGATGATGAGTTGGAAGCCTCACTTTTAGCTATTAGCAAGGTGGGCAGAGCAGTCGGAAGGGCTGAGCCTTGGAGCCGGGCTTGCACTGCAACCACAGGAGCGGGAGCCCCACGCCCGGCCCAGGCCCATGGGGTCACCTCATGGGGCTCTGTGCCTGGGAGCCTCTGTCTTGTGGGTCTGAATGTGACTTGCAGAGGCTGTGACGGCGAGCCTGGAGAGGCAGGCAGAGGGCTGAGTGTGTGGAGGGCTGAGTGTGTGTGAGCATGGGGCCAGCAGAGCAGAGAGCCACGGGGCCTCTTCCTTTCCATTCCCCTGGCTGCTCCCGAGCTTCTTTTCCTCCCTGCCTATGTTCATGACGACCTCCCAGACTGAGCCATCTGGACACACCAGCCCACCTGCCTCCTGACCTGCGTCTCTCCCAACCTGCTGTCTCCAGGGCAGCAGACCACACTGTCCGGTGGCTGGAGTGCCAGACAAAGTGGGACTGTGGGTTGGATGACTTTCCTGGGGGCAATCAGCCAATATATACCAAAGGGCTTCAAAAAGGAGTGACCTGTGAGCCACAGCCACCACACTTGCAGGGAGTGCCCAGGGGAACGGATTGGAGATGCAGAGGCCCACTTCTCTGTGGCTCTGTCTCCCTGAGCAAGGTCACTGAAATCGACCCAGTGTCCCCAGCAGTAAAGCCACGGCATAGGTTCCAGGTAGTCATTAAAATAAAGCATTTAAAGAATTTAATGACAAGGAAATCCCGCAGAACGACATCCGGTGGAAAGTGGTATGAAAGCACAGGCAAAGCAGAAACTATGGGCCTCCTGCATCCCTGGGGGGAGCTGGCCCACTGGGCACTCCTGAAACCTCTCTTCCTTCTCTGGGAATAGACCTGAGCCCGTGCAGGCGCTGCCCTTGTGGTAAACGTTCACCAATAGAATAAGTACAACTATGGATGTGGCTGAGATATTAGCTGGGGGTGTGGGGGGCGTCCTTGAGAAACAGTGGGAACTCCACATGCAGCCCATCAGCGGTGAGGAATCTGTGTCCAGAGGGACAGAGATGTGTCCCAAGGTCACAGCAGGTCAGGAGCACAGGTGGGACCATCCTCGGTCAGTCCTGCCCGCTGGATGGGGTGTTGGTGTGGGGGTCCATGGTCCATTCCTTTGGGGATGGCATTGGGGGAAGGAGAGCATGGTGCCCAAGTCCCCTGACAGTCTGCCCAAGTCACCGTGAGCTGGGGGTGTCCTCAGCCTGCTGCTCAAGGCCAGCTCCTGGGGCCCCAGCAGACTAAGCAATCAGGATGGGCTCCCCTAACTTTTGCCCTTTCTTTCCTGTTTATTAGTTTTTATTTTAAGTCAGCTCCACGCCCAACACAGGGCTCGAACTCATGGCCCTGAGATCAAGCTCACATGCTCCACCGGCAGAAACCAAAACCCCGAGTGGCCAGTCTTCTAGAATTGTCCCCATCCCCCCACCTTGAAGTTCAACTGGGACACAGGTCTGCTGAACCCAACTAAGCTCATGGCTACAGTACCAGCCAAGGACACAGGACCCAGTCAGGGTCATGTACTCGGGGTCCCAGCTGGACTCCAGCAAGCATTTGAGACCAGAGCACCCAGCTAGCAGACAGTGTGCAGCCATCCCCCGCAGCACACTCGAGAGGATGGTGCTGAGGGCGCAGCCTGCACTTCCCCCTCCCGGCCTTGTCCCTCCTTCTCTGGCTCACATGGCTACTGGTCCTGGCCTGACCCTGGCCTGTGTCGTATCAATCCCCCATTATACTGGGGTGGCGGGCGGGCAGGGAGCCCTTGTCCATGGGTCTCTGGACTCAGGCATGTGAATACAGAGGAAATCACTCAGTTGGCTGGGAAAGGGAAGGGGTGGAGGGGAGGTGAGCCCAGGGGTGTGGGAATGGCCTAGAACCAGCCTGTTGTACAACTGGTGGGTTACAGAGGCCCAGTCAAGGTCAAAGTGGCTCTCAGGCTGTGGACAGATCTGCCTGGAGACCCGGAAGGCCCTGCTGCAGGGGTCAGCCGGGGACAGGGCCGGGGCACTTGCTCTGCACGCAGTGACCCTTTGCTGCGGCCCTTGGACACAGCTCAGCCCCATTCCTGGGGATATTTAAGAGAAAGAGGCCATGGTGGCCTCAGAACATGGCTCGAGATAAGGTCAAGGCCTGCCTAGGACAGGACAGTCTGTGTAGACTTTGTACAGAATGTACCAGATTGTGAATTTGGCTCCACTGTGCTTGAAGTGGGAGAGACCCCTCCACCTGCTGGCCACTCCCTAGCCTTCTGGCTCGAGGATCAGGAGCTCTGGGTTGTGGCCACTCAGCAGAGAAAGCCTGGGCAAACCCATGTGCTCCCTGGGTTCAGTTTCCCCATCTGAGTGGCAATCGGTCTTTGTGGGCTCCCCGTGGTCCCTGTTTTGGGTTTTGGGTTCTACCCCCAGAGCCCCACCTGTCCAGGCATGGGGGAGCTGAGAGTGGCTTTACCTGCCTGTGCTGGGCCTGAGCCAGTCTCCCTGCCCCAGAGACCTCTTTGCCTCACAGCCCTGCTTCCCTCTGCCGGCACCTCCTCCGGGGGCACCACTGGGGCTGGGGCTGGACCCCAGGTGACCAAGGGAGTTGTCTTGTCATTTTGGGGCATGAGCTAGCCTCCTAGCCCCACCCTGTATACAGACCCTGTGGCCCCCTGGGGATAAATGGGAGTGACTTTGAGCCTGGTTTCCCCTCATGACTTGGGGCAGCATCTTTACTCGCCCGTGGATCCTGTACCCAGGCTTTAATAAACCCGCATTCTGCACCAAAGAATCTCAGGAATCTTTTCTTGGCCATGGGCTCCAGACCCACCAACCTCACCTGTGTTCTAGAACCACATCAGACATGGGCAACTCTGCACAAAGCATCTAACACACTCCCAATGCGATGGAACTGGACACTTGGCTAGGACACTTGGAGTGGGAAAGTTTTTATAAGGATCCCCACTGGTTTGGGCTGGTGAGGCTGGGTTACCCTCAGTTCCCATTTCTCAGGCAAGGAGCTACCTACACGAATGTCCCTGTTCTCTGCAAAGCCTTCTCCGACCTCCCCACCTCCACCCAAGGCTGAAGTAACAGTGGTTCTGTGAAGCAGTGTGTCCCCACCTGCTCCCCACCTCAGGTTGAGAGCTCTCCTTCCAGCCCAAAAGCGGCCTTGCCCTTGAAGCATGAGGGAGGGTGGGGGTGAGGAGAACAGGGAGGCCCCATGCTTCCCTTGACTCAGCCTAGGGCCTCACAGGGCTAGAAACTCTGACCTCAGAGCTCTCTAGTTGTGGGGGTCTCCCAGCAGGAGTGGGTGTGGGGAGGAGCCCCATTCCCAGCAGCTGGTCCCCCTAGACCCCTCCCCTTCCCTGTGGTCTGGCCTTGCCCTGCTCCAGTTGGGGTTCATGCTCAGCTAGAAAGAAATGTGTCTCCAAGGTCCGGCACAAGGCTGCCTTTGTGTGGCAGCTAGCTCGGTGGCCCGGTTCAGGCCCAAAGCCTGGCCTGGGGACAGGAGCTAGAGGACCCTTGAGCTTCTGGGAACTCAGGGAGGCTGGGGGATGCTGATTGCTGAAGACAGGATTCTCAGAGCTCCTGGCAGGGCCCCTCTGCTGGAGGGGACCACATGGCTACCCAGGACCCCACGGGGGCAGCATGGCCACTTAAGAGTTACACTGCTTACTAGCTGTGTGACTCTGAGAAAGTCTCAGGACCTCTCTGAGCTGAGTCTCCCCCGTCAGATGGGAGTGGTAAAGTGCCTACCCCAGTGCTGCTGTGAAGATCACATGAGTACGAGTCAACCCCTCTGCACAAGGCCTAGCACATGGCAAATGTTTAATAAAAGCTTACTCCTCCTCTCGAGGGGCAGCTGTGTGGGGAAGGGGGAGTGAAGCCCCTCATAACCCTCCAGCACCCCCTCCAGTCTTTCAAGTGGATGGTGCCCTCTCCCAATCTTATGGAGGGGGCTTCTCCTAGCTGCGGCTCTCCAGCCTCTGCCGCACGGAGCCTAGAGCCTGGGCTCCTGGAGTTGCTGGAGGTCTCGAGAGAAAGGGTGTCCAGCCCCATACCAGGCTGGCACTTGCAGACACTCAGCCCATGATGGCTGAGGGGGCTGCACGGGAGAGGCTGGGCAGGGTGTGATCCCCATGCCAGGCCTGCCACACGTTCCCAGGGCAGGGTCCCCATCCCCGGGGCAGCTCCTCCAGGGGCCTGCTGACAGCGCTGGTGCCAAGAAGCCCCTTTAGCCCAAGATGCTGGGCCTGAGAGAGGGGCAGCTGGTCTGACGGCAGGGCCAGCCCTGCTGGGGGACATGACTGGGATTTGCTCCCCAGGGAGCCAGGCTGCCCCGGGTCGGGGGCAAGGAGCCTGCCCTCCCTATGCCTCTTTTAGACATGGTGACCTTTGCCTTCATGCTGTCTCTGTCCTCCAACCAGGAAAGCCAGGCCAGAAGAAATCTGGGAGAAGAGGCTGTCCTCTCTGTCCTGTGCAGGGACCCAAGGAAACGGCCTCCCCAGCTAGTCCCACTTCATACACTACCATCTGCTTCCCCAGACCCATACTTAGTCCAACCACGAGGACAACACCAAGTGGACCCAAACTAAAGACACACCCAGTTCAAACGCTTCCACCCAAACACCTGAGTGGGGGTTGGTGTTGGGATCAGGCCTGGCTGCTCCCAGGACCTCGCAGCTGGAGAGTCCATAGCTGGGCAGACACGCACTGCAGGGGCAGCTTTTTCCCCCAGAGGTGACACAGGACAGTGGCAAAATGGCAACAATGTCCCACCCAAGGATAGTTCAGAACTCAGGAGGCAGTAACCCTCTGTGCCAGGCTCTTACTGTTGCGAGTTTTGTTTAACTTGTGCTGTTGCTACAATATTGTGGGACAGCCAATAAAAGTGAGCAAAGCTGTGTTGCTACTATGATTGTGTTGACTCTTCGGGGTAAATGACAACTCTGCACCCAGCACTCCAGGAAGTTCTTGTAAGCCTCCGACAGACTGCTCACTTCCGGCCACCTGCAGGTGCCTCACCCCAGGCAACCAGGTTGCCAGCTCCTGGCCTGGCTTACCTGGGCCTCCACCCTTCCTGAGGCCCCAGTGCCCACTGCGTCCTTCGTGCTTGGCCCTGATGTGGCCATAATGAGTGGGGTGTGGGAGTGTCCCTGGGGGATGCAGCCACTAGCAGGATTCCCACCTGTCCTGGCCCCCAGAGTCCTGTCCAGCAGCTCCCCACCACTCGCCTCTGCCTGGACTCTTCCTGCAGCCCCCGGCACCCCAGTGCAGCCTGCAGCCTCCTGGCCGGCTCACCTGACCCATCCAGCTGAGCATCCTTCGCCTTCTCTGGGGACGGGAGCGTGAGAGCATGGCTTATGGACTCTTTGGAGAGCGTCTGGCCATCAGTCAGGGAGCTGGCAGGGAGGAGAGAAACAAAGTGAGACCCCTGGGGCCTGGCTTCCCAGTGCTGGCTTAGCACATGTCTTGTACCCCGGGGGTGACAGTGGCATCTCTGTCCCTGGCAGGTGTCTCTGCCTACCAGGGGAAGAGGAGGTAGTCAGGGGACAAGAACTCAGTAGCTGCAGGGCTGTGCTCACCACCCCCAGCCTCTCCCTGCAGGTTCTAAGGGCTCAGGAGAAAGAACAATCAAGCCCTGCCCGCTCTAGTTTGTGGTGTGACTCTGGCAGGTGCACAGCTCTCGCTGGACTCAGCGTCCCTCTCTGGATAAGGAACGGCTTGGGTGGCCCAGCAGTGGCCAATTCTGGGCACAGCTCCAGCGGAGCCCCTCCTCCTTGCTCCCCATACCCACTGGGCCCCAGGCCTTGAAAACAGTCATGCTTAGAAGCTGAGAGCAGAGCTGAGGACATTCCCAGGGTTCTCATGGGTCCTCTGCAGGCCCCAAGTGAGGATCTCCCCTCCCCATGGAGAGGACAGTGTGAGGCCAGAGAGATCTGGGGCTCCAGCCATCTGCCTTCACCCCCAGTCCAGATCCTCCTCGCTTCCCAGGCCTGGTGACCCTGGACAATGGATCTCCTCTTCCTGCCAGATAGCCCCAGGAGTTATGAGGTCTCTCTTGTTGACCTCAGCACCATTCTTCCTCAGGGTTCAATTAGCCAGACCTCAATGTCCTGGGGGATGAGTGGGTGGAGTTCACTACACGCATCAGACTCAAGCAGGACTGCAGCTTTTGCACAACTCCTGGGGCATATTTCATACTCCTCAGCTATGTAAACAGAGCCCATTGGAGTTGTGCAGTATGCAACCTGTACAGCTGGTCATGGCAGCTCCAAGAGCAGAACCCTGGCTCCAGGGAGTCCCATCCATCTGTCAGGGTGGGGCTAGTCCCATCCCTGCCCACTTCCCAGGCTGTTGGGCCAGTTACCTGCTTGTCACATTCGGCCTTACTCCTTGCCGGCACCGCAGGCTCAAACTAAGTTTGCGAACACACCCAGGCCCACCTGGCAGCAGTCTGCTTAAGAACCTGAATTAGGTTTTAAAGCGAAACACATCAGGAGGTTAAGAAGGGAAGGGTGGGGAGGGCAGCCCGGTAGGCTCAGCGGTTTAGCGCTGCCTTCAGCCCTGGGCGGGATCCCGGAGACCCTAGATAGGGTCCCACATCGGGCTCCCTGCATGGAGCCTACTTCTCCCTCTGCCTGTGTCTCTGTCTCTGTCTCTCTCTCTCTCGTAAATAAATAAAATTTAAAAAATTAAAAAAAAATAAGAAGGGAAGGGCGTGGGGAGAAGCGGGGTGAGGTGGGGCCAAGTTGGTCCCGGTCTTGGGAATTCCGTGAGTGAGGCCTTTCTGTCCGTGAGTGGGGACCTGTCCCAGGGAAGCCACTGGAACACTGAGATGACAAAGCGTGCTTCTAGGGTGGGGATCTGAGCGTGTGGGACTTGTCCTGCTGACTTTGGGTCACGGGTCACCACCATTACTCGCTTGGGTCGCAGAGTGGACTCTGTCTCTGCTTTAGGATGGAGACAATCGTACTGGTACCGAGCGGCCTGGAGCTCTGGGCACAGACAAGTAGCGGGCGGATGAATGACACACGCCTCGGGTCTGGCACTGTGAGTCCCTGATCGCGGATGGCGAGCTGCGTATTGCATCCGCCCCACTGGCTGGGTCCTCAAGGGCGAGCGAGGCCAGCCTTGGAAATCGCCAGCTGGGCAGCCACCCCAGATTGGCCGAAGCCGTCGCTGATGGTGGTCGCTCGCCATCTGAACGGCCTCCTCACAAGTCTGCTTTAAATCCCCATCCAAAGCTTCAGGCGGCATTTTCCCACCTGATAACATTTGTGTAAACTGCCTCTGATTTCAGAATAGCTAAAAACAGATGAAGCGAAAAGATAGGAGCCTAAGGGAGCTGGTGGCCAAGTGAGAGCCTCCTGAACCAAACCCTCTGTTTGTGGGGGGCCCTTTCCTGAGCGCCCGGCACCCCTGTGCTGGCCGGGCCCTGGTGGCTCAGACGCACTGCCCTCCACTCCCCATCCTGCTCTCTCCTTCACAGGTGACCCGGTGGAGGGGTCCTCCTCTGCCGGTGTGACAGGGACTTGTCACCCTGTGCACAGCTGCGTGGGGAAAACGGTCTGGCTCAAGCCTTCAGCCCCGAGCCTGCAGAATACTGGGTGCCTCATTAAGAGGCTAGGTCCAATCTTCCAGGCGGGTAAAGCGTGTCCACGTCCTTGCCAGAGCTTGGCCCCTTGGAGGGGACGGCACCCTTGCCCACCGTGTGGGCGGTAACAGGGCCTGTGTCCTCCCCGCATGGCCACCACCCTGTGTCCGGGTCCAGGGGGCATTGGGGGGTGACCTCCAGTCCTGCCCCCGCTGTGTCCCCTGCAGTAGGCCCAGGAGCTCAGAGGGACCAGCGGGTGAGGTGGCACCTTCGTGATCGCCACCAGCGCCTGGCAAAGGTGATGAGCACAGTATTCCCGTCCTACTTGTGCACACCCTCAGCACCTGGCCTTACTTGTCCTGCACAGAAACCAAATGTCTGCAGTGCCTTCCTAGTGGCTCGGGGAGCAAGGAGCTCTAGAAGGGCGTGTGTGCGCAAATACACCGTGCAGTGCTTGGGCCAGGAGAGCCTGCCTGCACTCCCTACTTGACCGTCTCTGGTGAGCTGGTCTCGCCTCTCTCCTCCTGTTTTGCCAGAGGAGCTGAAGGGAACCATTTGATGGTAGAGCCGACCGAGCCTCATTCAGTTCCTCCTTCAGGAAGCCCTCGAGGATTATCCCCAACACTGTCCCCCTCTCACGGCCTTGAAGGCCACACATGGCTTGGTCAGTTCCATGAATCTGCTTGTCCTCTGGCCTGACATGCAGTGAGGTACACAGCTGGAGCTCAGTAAACATCCTCCTCATGTTGTCACTGTGTGTGTGACCCACAAGGTGAGAGGAGCTCTCGTTTTCCACGGGAGCCCCTCCCAGATGGGGGTCCATCTCCTAGTTATTTTGTTGTCTTTCTTCCCTTTCAGCCTTCAGCAGCCAGGCCACTGTTCTGTATGCAATAGGTGCTCAATAAATGCTTTCTTGAAACAATATAGCATTGAGGTTCACCAGAATTCACCCCCTTCACTGGCTGTGTGAGTCTGGGCAAGTCACTGTACCTCTCTGAGCCTCGGTGCTCTACGACACCCTGTGTCTGTGGTGAGGATATGGGACATCTGCAAAGTGCTTAGTGCACAGTAGCTCCCCATATTACTGGGGGGCTGTCAAGGATCTTTCAGGGAATCAGGAGAAGAAAGTTCTTTGATACGATCGGGAGGGTGACTCAGTGGAGCGAAAACCCCCAAACCCAAGACGGGTCTGGGTACCGAGCGGCCTGGGTACTCTCCCTGGGAGGGGGGCGGGGTCCTTGTTCCTTACACGGTCCTCAGGACGGAGCCGGCAGACATGAGCAGGAGCATCTCTGGCATGGTCCCCGTGGGGCGGCCGTGCCCCTCAAGCTCACAGAGGAGAGAGCGGGGACCTCCGGGAATGCATCGGCCCCAGGGAGGCCCCGCTCCACCAAACCACCCTGCAACAGATACAGGGTGCGTCACGGCCTGCAGCTGGGCTGGGCCCGGACGCAGGTGCCTTCCTTGCTGGGCAGGACTCACCGGCTCCTGGGGCTGGGCGCCTGACTGTAATTTACTGCCTGCTGAGCCCACACATCTGATCGTGTTGAGAGCAACATGGGCTCGCCTTCGGGCTCTGGTTTCCATACCCCGGGCCAGGCGCTTACCAGGAGGACCACGATGAGCAAAGCAAGCAGACTCCAGGACTCCCGCTTTGCAGATGACTGAGCACCCCTGCCGCCCTCCCTGTTCCTTATTCCAGTGCTGGCCGCCCTCTGCCCCGGGCACAAAGCTGAGAGCCTACCTTCCCGGAGCACAGCAGTGCAGGGCGTCGCCTACACATTCCCCGAATCCTCAAAGGCCCACACTGAGGGAAAAGCAGGATGTCCTCCAGATCCCACTATCCCGACCACCCAGGCTGGAGGGTGCCACGCCACAGCCCCCCCATGGGCTACTTCCATACGGGCCTCTCTGCCCCCCCCCCCACGGTGGCCCATGCCCCTCATGCTTCCTTTGTCCACATGGCCTGTCTCACCTTGAAGATCAGACCCCCAGCAGCTGTCTCAGGATCAGGGGTCCTGGCTGAGGATCCCCCGAAGGCCTCACGGCAGAATGGGTGCCTGACAGGATCCAGCCACAGCAGGGAGCTCACCTGGTCTCCCGTGTGGAGGCAGGAACAGGGCTTGGTGCTCCCTGAGCTCCGCCAGCTAAGGCATCGTGAGTGTGGGAGCTGGCACCGCTGGTAATGAGGCGCTGGGGCTGGGCGTGTGTGGGGACCCGCCCCGGCCTACCCTGGGGCTGTGGGTGAGGTGTGGCCTTAGACACCTCTGACCCACCTGGCGCGGGCCCCAGCTGCCCACCTGCGAGCCTTACATAAGAGGGTGGGAAGCAGGAGAGGAAAAGGGACCTGCCGGCGTGGGCCAGGGAGGCAGTCTTTGGCTGCCATCCTTGGCGGGGCTGTTGGGAGGACTTGGCTCCTGCCAGTGGGCCCTGCACCTGGAGCCAGGCTGGGCCCCATCCTGGGTGGAAGCTTGACTACTGGTTGGGTTGTGTCTTGACTAACTTTTCTTTAGTAAATGCTTGAACTGTGCCAAGCCCTGGACATGCAGTGGCCCCTTGCATCCTCTCCACGGCCCTGTAACGGCGGTGGTATCAACAGCTGCGTGCCCCGGCTGAGGCAACAGAGAGGTCCAGAGAGCCGGACAGTGGCTCCATGTCACATGCCCAGCGAGAGGCAGAGCCGGGTGGAAGCCCAGGTCTCCGTGACCCGCTCTGGAACCGGGAAACCACATGCGCTAGATTTGCCCTCCATCCACACTCCATTATCACCCCTGCCTCTGCACCTTGCCCTTTGCCCTCTAGCACCCTCTCCTCTTCCTCCCTCATCTCAGGACTTGGTAGGAGTGTGGCAACAAACCCAAACTTTCTGACACCAGGGACCCTGCTCCTTGGACACCCCTGCCCAGCCAGGCCTCCCGCCCCGAGCCCCCCACCCCTTGGTGATCACTTACAGGCCACCACCTCAAAATGCCAGGCTGCCTCTGGGGGTGGGGGTACTGGTCGGTCGAGGTGGCCCCCTGGGTGTTAGGGAGGATTTTAAGTCCCCTCTGAAGGCCCAGGGGCAGGGCATGGCAGCAGCGACAGGGATGGCTTGTTCCAAGGCCTTGAACCCAGGCAATGGTGGATGACCCCCAGATTTCCACACTGAGCTACTAGGTCAAAGCCAGTACACTCACTTCAAGAAAATTCGGCCCATCACCAAACTCCAGTCCCTTAAAGTTCTCTTTTCCAGGCCCTCCCTCTGAGGACGCCTTGATAGTCTGGGTCTGGGTTACTGGCCACAGGGGTTAGGACCCCCTTGAGAACCTGCTGGAAGCCGTCCCCTGCCCCCCATCAGTGCTGTTTCGGGGTTCCCAGTGGGCTCTGGAAGTCCATGGCATATCACCAACCCAGCCCCAGAGAACCCCAGGAAGGAATGCAGACCTCCTCTGTCCCCAGGATGCGATGACTCTTCCCTTCTGGTGCTGCTCTCCGGCTGAGGACTGAGCAGTGGTGTTAATGATCTAATGATCAGAGTTGATGCTGGGCGTGGGTATAGGTGAGGGAATGGCACCAGAAATGTCCTCAGGTTATGGGCTGGCAGGAACCCCATGTCCGGGTCTTTTAGCACCCTCTGGGCAGCTTGATGTGCACACTGGATGTACAGTTTCTAAATTGATGAGGAGGCTGAACAAATAGGCTTATCCCAGGATCAGGATGACTTGGGAAATGTGTAATCTTCATTTTCCATGCCCTTGCAAAATCCACAAGCTGGCCTACCTACTAGTCCTCTGACGACTCCTCCTCCAGGAAGTCCACTGGGAGGGACCCTCTGGAGCTGCCCTGGCTGAGCCCCTCCTGGAGCACTTAGCATAGAGGCTGGGTGTTATTTTGTTAAACATAATTGTCTACCATGAAATAGAAATCTTAAGTGTATATTCCCTTCCCCTGACTGATAGATAGTTCCTGGAAGATCCTTCTTTCTGCACCAATCCTGTGCTGACACTGCAGAGGGCCTGGGGCCAAGGAAGCTGGCTGGCCGGGCTCTTGTCTCGAAGGCTGAGAGGTGATGGCAATCAGGTGGCAGGTGGAGAGCAGGGGAGCACTCAAGGCCACTGGGGTTACCAGACCCAGACTGAGGTGAGGGCATCATGCAATCAAAGGAGAGAATTGGCAAGGAATGAAGTTTCCACCATTTTATGGGAGGCAAGGACATGTGTCCGAGGCAATGGTGCAGAGGGGGAGGCTGGTCCAGAGGGGACCCTTGGCCAAGCAGAGGACTTCTGGGGATCCACAGTCTCTCAGAAAGGGTGAGGACAGGGCAGGAGTGGTCGAAGCCATGTCCCCCAGACCCTTCCAAAGGAACATATTTGGGGCAGGTGCCCTGGGGACTGAGCCCCCCATGCAAGACCCCCAAGGAGTGTGTCTGGGGAGAGGCTTTAGCTCCAAAGTCTGGTCCCAGCTTCACCCAGGCTCCTGCCAGTTTGGGTGGGGCCAGCCACCCAGCTCACTTCTAGCCCAGCTGGCAGCACTCAGAGTGTACAACCCTGTCAACATAAACACGCCAGCCTGTATAGAAATGAACACATCGATCACCAGGCTCTGTTGCAAAACCTGGACCCAGTTGGTTGACAACCTGCTCCCGACTAAGACAGAGTGTTCTGGGCACTGGGACATGTGGGTTCTAGCTTGGGGCCAACCCTGACTGGGTGACCGTGGGCGAGTCCCTGGTCCTCTCTGTGATTCCCTTGCAATTTAAAAAAAATTTTATTTATTATTTTAAATATTTATTTATTTATTTATTTATGATAGACATAGAGAGAGGCAGAGACACAGGAGGAGGGAAAAGCAGGCTCCATGCAGGAGCCTGACTTGGGACTCCATCCCAGATCTCCAGGATTACGCCGTGGGCTGCAGGTGGCGCTAAACCGCTGCGCCACCGGGGCTCCCCTCCCTTGCAATTTTTTTTTTTTAATTTTTATTTATTTATGATAGTCACACACGCACACAGAGAGAGAAAGAGAGAGAGAGAGAGAGAGAGAGAGAGAGAGAGAGAGAGGCAGAGACACAGGGAGAGGGAGAAGCAGGCTCCATGCACCGGGAGCCCGACGTGGGATTGAATCCCGGGTCTCCAGGATCGCGCCCTGGGCCAAAGGCAGGCGCTAAATCGCTGCGCCACCCAGGGATCCCTTCCTTGCAATTTTTTATCAGTGACGGGATTTGAGTGCCTGGGCTGGAATTGTGCTGCCCTAGGCAGGGACAAGGCTCTCAGATCGGGCATTGCCAGGTCCCTAGGCCCAAGGGGCCTGAGAGCAAATGGAAATAATACTATTATGTAAACAGCCAGTAGCTCACATTTATATGGCACCTATTGGGTATGTACATTAACACATTCGACCCACAGCCAGCGCAGTGAGGTAGTTCCTACCACCATTCTCACTCCACAGATGAGGAAACAGGGTTTATTCGAGGTCTTTGGTTAGCAGACTTGAGGCTGCAAATTCAGGCAAGTGGGTTTCAGACTTTGTACTCTTGGCCAACAGGCCACCCCAGATATCCTGGGCCTCCTGGGCAGGGCACAGAAGGGTGGGCACCCCACAGTCCTGTTCCCAATCAACCACCATCAGACCCTTTTATTACACCCCTCCATCCACTCATATTTTGAAACATTTTGTGCATAAGAAAGGTGTGTGTATTAAATCAGAATTAAATCATTTTCTTGTGTTGTATTGATGACAGATGACAGCTACTTGGTATTTTTTATTGTTGTTGGGAGGGCAATATGAAGCTCAGAGTTGACATAATTCGAACCCAGAGCAGAGAGCCCTAGAAAACTGCCATTTCTTGCCATTGTTATTTACTATGCCGCAAGTACAACACGGGGCCCAGCTCTTGTCCTGTTAGGGCTTTGATTACCTGGTCTATAAAAGGAAGGGGCAGATGGGATGGTCTCTAAGTGCCAGCTCTAATGGTACTTGGTTTTCCATCTTTCCTAGAGGGAGATGAGAGGAAGGAACAACACCACCTATTCCTCAGGCTCTGGACCATTCTCTTGGCCAGAGGAGCTTTGTGGTGTAGGGTAGGAGTGAAGCAGGGGTTTGAACTACCACCAAATGGGGCATGGTACCCCTGTAGCATATGCATGATGGCTTCCAGGCCTGGTCCTGGCCCTGGAGGAGACCATAGTCTAAAGAAGAGGGTGAGGAGAGAGGTGTACACAGGAGAGGCATCTATGAACAAGGGGGCCGTGCAGTAGGGGCACAGAGCAACAGGGGACCAGTCTTCTAGAGAACGTCATTTCACTTTTTTAGAAAAGATTTTTTTATTTATTTCAGAGAGAGAGAAACTACCCATGGGGGGGTCGGAGCAGAGAGAGACAGAGACAGAGAGCACAAGCAGGAGGAAGGGCAGGGGGAGAGAAAGAGGAAGAAACCGGTTCCCTGCTGAGCAGGGAGCCTGACACAGAACTTGATCCCAGGACCCCGGATCATGACCTGAGTGGAAGGCAGGCACTTCACAAATTGAGCTCCCCACCACGCCTCATTTCGCTTTTTTAAAAGTGCAAACTAACACCTACTGAGCACCTAGTATATGGCAGGCGCTGCTCCAATTGCTTTACATGTATTAAGTCATTTAATTACATCAATAATCCTATAAAGTAGGTACTGAATTATAGTCCCCATTATATGAATATGGAAGCACAGAGAGATGAAGTAATTTGCTGCAGGTGATACAGCAAGTAATCTGAATAGTTGGGATACAAACCCAGATAGTCTGACTCCAGATTTTAAACTCTAAAGTACCAAAGCCATTGCCTAAACTTCAGTGGGTCCCTGTGAGGTTCCAGACACCTCTGCACACAGCTCAGCAAAATGGGATTTCTTAGGAGCAACTGGCTCAGAAAGGCAGAGCCCTGTGGCTGAGACACTAGTTTAACACACATGCGTATTTAAATTCTTTGAATCAGCATACTCCTAACATATCATCAGAATTTCCAACATATAACAAAAAATGACCAGACATCTGAAAAAGCAAGAAATATGAGCTAAAATTGAGAAAAAAGGCAATTAATAGAAATAAACTCAGGTATGACACAGATGTTGTAATAAGCATACAAGGACTTTAAAACAGTTACTAATACATGTTTGATAATTTAAAAAAATATAGACATAACTGATGAACAATGGAGGATTGCC